GAGCACTGGAACAGGATGCCCAGGGAGGTTGTGGAGTCTCCTTCTCTGGAGATATTCAAGACCCGCCTGGACGGGGTCCTGTGCGGCCTGCTGTAGGTGACCCTGCTTTGGCAGGGGGGTTGGACTAGATGACCCACAGAGGTCCCTTCCATCCCCTACTATTCTGTGATTCTGTGATTCTGTGAAACAAAGCTCAATTTTTATGTTGTGCTTGCTTCAGTGGTAGTCAGAAAGAATTTTACACAGGAAATGAGCAGACAAGGAGTCCCGATGGATCATTTTATATATAATTTCCCGGAGGAGGACTACAGTCAATAAAATTTCCATTTAATTTTCAGTATGATTGATTATTCATAATTTGGATAGTCATAATAGGTATGGTTTCATTTCTGATGTTAATGAGAAGCTCTACCTATTTTCTGATTTTCTGCCTCAAATTGATGAACTTCTCCTTACCTCTCCAGATAACCATGTATGGTACTGGTTTTATCTTTATTTGAAAATGCTATGATGCTTTCTAAAAAACTGAAGAAAAAACATCATCAGACAGATTCCTAACATAATGTTTAAGAGATGCAGCAAAAGCTTCAACAATGCTTCAGTGTCTGCTGAAATAAAATAACCCTACATGAATTAGCATTTCCAATCTTGCTGAGGCCTAAAAATACTTTTTTTAAAAAAAAAATAACTGATTTTTAAACTGAAGAACATGCATAGAATGGAATAACAGCATCATGGAAACAGAACTAATAAAAGATTTTTGAAAAAATGTAGGTTGATGGATGAATTCGATAGCTGGCAGGAAACTTGGTATATCCACTTACCTCTTTGAGCGCTTTGTAATACATAAGGCAAGGAACTAGGAAGATCATAGAAGCAGAGATAGCAATAGTCAACCATATCACTTGTTGGTTTTATTCACATGACATCAAACTGATTCTGGTAGTGCAAGCAGTGTTTCCTGATTTAAAGTAGCTGCAGATAAGAAACATGAAGGCAAGATCTTGTTTCCTTACACATGTATAAACTAAACTGAAAGAATTGTATCAGTTAAATCCAGCTGTTGGATTAGAGTTGTTTGGATTGGTTTGGACTAGCTTGGATTAGTTGGATTGTCTCTAATTTAAAAGTGAATTATCTGTACTGCTTTTCTTCTCATACAGTACTTTGAGATCAAATAGTCATAGGAATTAGAAGTGGGAGTAAGTTGGTAGTCTGTTTTACTTTGTCTTCCCATTGCTGCTTACAAAGCATTTCCAAGGTAATCCATGTAAACCAATATCTAAAGTCGCCTTCATTTGAGCTCTAATTCTGTTTTTCAAATGTCGTGTTGACAAATGTTCTTCATTATCTCTTTACAGCTGCAGTTTGTGATGGAAAATTTATGTTGACTGATTCTTCTGGGTTTTTTCACTCTATGAATTATCCAAAACCATATAATGCAAATATCGTTTGCCAATGGATTATACGGTAAGCCATTTCCAATAATTTTCTACCTAATATTTTTTTTTATGAGATGATATTATTTCCTGCACATCAACCTTATGCCATTTGTTTCTATTGCCAGATAGCCCAGCATGGAAAATGCGTAACAGCATTTTCTCCTTAATAATTATGTAACTTCTCTTTAAAAACTTGCATGCCTAAAACCCACAACTATGTCAAAAGTTCTCCCACTTTCAAAAATTCTTAGGTATGATTTTGAGAAATCTTGTGTATTATATGCATACACAGGAACATATTAGTAAGCTCAAAATAAACCACATAAAACAATTGCAAAATATTTGTTTAAAGTCTTACAGTAAATACTACGTAGCGGTTTTATATTATATAACTGTAACTAACAGATGGATTTTTCAAGAATTCCCTTGTCATTTACAGGTACACATTTCACCTGGGAGTTAACAGCACCTATGCTCCTAAGTCATTTAGGAACATGCTTTAAAAGTACATGAATATCATTTGACGTAATAGCACCAAATGCCTTTATAGCCCTAGGCACAAGAAATGGAATTTGTTTAATCAAGGATACATACTCACAGGGAGGGACAGCTATTTGACTTTGACACTCTAGGTTCACTTCACAGGCCAGGGACAAAAAGAGGTAGCCATGGTCTCTGATAAATCTCATCCTAAAGTACACACTTAAAATAACTTAGATGATTGCAAGTTGGAAGCTCCTAAAAACCCCTACAATTGACTGCCAATTCAGAAGTTACTGGTTTGAAAGGCAGTAATTCTTATTATGGCTTTGTAATAACGGCTATTCTTTCATTCTGAGAAGTATTAATTTGGTAGAAGAGTTTCAAAGGAGCTTAAGTAAATGCTTTTAAAATTGGATAAGATTTGGGCTTCTCATTCCCACGGCTCCCTTGAAAGTGCTAGCCTTTGAGTTTGTTCAGGACTTTCATCTTCACCTTGACAATTCAGGAAAAAGTTATGGTTTTCCTTCTGTTTAGTACATTTGTTGCTTCTCATCTTCAGCAATGCTATTCACCAATAACTACTGGCTACACCTGGGTATAAAATACAGGTGAATTACAGGAAAAGCACAAGATTGTACCCTTCAGAATATAAGCCTGACTTGTTCCTCAGTTTACGGTATCACAGAATTTGAGCATGATAAATAATCATGTCTCAAGTGCACTACTTCCTTCTAAGCCGTTAATTTTTCTTCAAATGTCGCTATAGTTGCAAGAAGCACTGTATTAGATACATTTCTATACCAGGTATGTAGCTAGCAAAAGCTTAATTTTGGAAAGAATCATAATTGCAAATAATATAGTACATGTGATGCAGGTCTGTGTAACTACAGATAGATCACTGACAAAAACAGCCATTCCAGTTATCTACTTTAAAAAAATCTGCTAACACTGGTAGTAAAGGCCTGAAAAATCCAATGTGGTACTTAAATTTTGTCTCCCTTTTGAACAAAATTATGTCTGTGAGGGAACCACTTAGGTTTTCCAGTAATCAATGAGAGTTATTTTGTCCTATTACTTTTATCATCCCTATAAAAATGTGTTAAAAGTCACCCTGTGATACATCCAAGATTTGATTTCTCTTCTATCTTTCTTTGTCTAGAAAGATTTCCCCATTACCTTTAGGAAAAGCTTTTATATTTTCACTCCAAGTAACTCCTCCCCAGATGAGCCATATGCTCAATATTTGCCTGAAAGATTAGCTTCCTGAGAGACTACCTTTCAACTATATGTTTTACTCTTTTCAAACCAAGGATAATTTTTTCCTGTAAGAAATACATAACAAAAAAAAAAGCAAATGCAAATATTCCAAAATTTACTTCACCCTTCTGTACTAAATGGTGCTGATAATCCCTAACAAATTGCTGTTGAAAAGCTGTCTTTATTGGGTCTCTCAATTCCACAAAACATCAAACAACCGTATAAGAAGCTAAGCTGGTTTTCATAGTGAGTCTTAGAATTTCAATTACCATATAAGTTTAGTGAAAAGGCAATGGGAGAACTACTCAAATACAGATTACTGAAAGAACACAACTGCAGCAAAATGAAACCCAGCATTTTTTACACTTTAGTTAAAGTGACTTTTGTTGTTAAACTTACTGGGTGATGGTTAGATTTGATTACATGTTCCTGAACAGTGGGTTTGAGATCCTCAAATCTTCATGCAAATTCTGTTTTTTTCATAAGGGACATTATTTTGAACTTTCAGGAGACAGATTTTGATATCTTGCGATTCATATTGATACCATGATAACATTCCTCTGAATTTAGAAAGTCTACCTGAGCAGTGAGATGTTATCTATTAGTAACATGCATTAGAAATTAATTGTAAATTAATGAGATGGAGAGAAAAAAAAAAAAAACCAACACCAAAAGCTATTCAGCTGAATATCACATTCTAGAGTTTAGAAGATTCAGTTCCTAAAATATTCTTAGTTCCAGTCAGTAAGGGATTACTTGTATCGTTACAAAAGGTTCATGCCCTATTTGTTTGTAATTTTACAAACTAGAAGTTAGCCAAACAGGCCTTCTTGATTAATAATCTTGATTAACGTGATTTCACATTGTTTCTGAACTTAACATCATTCAAGCACGCAATGAATTTACTACAGTCAAAGAAAGATTACTAGAACATGTCTTTCAGTTTTCTCTTGTCATCTTAGAGTGCCTCAAGGATTATCCATCAAACTGAACTTCACTTCATTTGATACACAACGGTATTCGGATAATTTAGATATTTATGAAGGTGTAGGACAAAACAAGATTTTAAGAGGTAAGGTTATATTTCAGCTAATATTACTTTTCCATTAAGAAAATTTAAGTGGTAAAATAAGCATTTTGAAGTGAAAAAAACTGCATGCATATGTTTAAATGGAAGAATGCATCTGTGTAAAATTACCCTGTTTGACAATTTATCTTGATATACATATCTACTCTTGTGAAGTGACCAGATAAATGCTTCTCTAATATATTAAGTAATCTCTACATTGTTTTAAGATCTTTTATGAACAATCTTTATAACTTGACTAGAGCCATAGTCTTGTGGGGTCCATGTTTCTTTAGAAATATGTTGTCAGAACACCCTGTAACATCATGCAGAGTAACATAAATGGAAGCATCTAAACTGAAACTGTTGGGACAAGTGCTATGATACTCCCTGTAATTCATTACAAGCCTGGTATTGCTTTCCTCAGACCTTGAAATACTGATGATACCTTATCTCTGTCTCTGTATTCTATTCCGGAAAACTGGAATTTTATCCATTTTTCACAAGACTCGGTCTATCCATCTGAATTCTGTCAGAGCTGCAATACATATAGTTGAAGATACTTACATAGAGTTAAGTCAGAAAGATATATAATTATTTATCCTTATTTTTGGAAGCAAGGAGAGAATGGGAACCAGCAATAGTAAAAGACTCATAAAATAAAGAATGAAGAAATTCTACCCTTTCAGTACTTTTTTGAATTTGACCTCCCTTTGGAATTACAAATTAGATGTGAGAGGCTGCTTCAGTAATATTCTCTGCAGCAGCATTGAACTTGCATGGTTTTGAGGACTGCTATGGAGATGACCAGTGATACCACAAAGACGTAAAGACAATGTTAAAGACTGTCCTTCGGCGTATTGCCTAAAACTTTACAGTTTGAGGGGTAGATTTCCGGGTATTGGAAATGCAAGATTAGAATGAAGAAGGCCTACAAGACATTTCCGGATTAAGACTCTCCACTTAAGTAAGTAAAAAACGTGAGAAGAAGGAAGGAAAATAATGCACATATCATTAAAAGTGCAAAAGATGATGCTCATTGTCTTTCCTTAATAATTTGGCACTGTTACAAATATATAGTGTTACAAGCAGGTAAATAGCTCCTTCTCAGAAAAGCAAAGTCTATCTGTGCAAAACCAGGCAAGGACTTCAGAAAAGGAAGAGAGCAGGCAAAAACATTCACAGCATCCAGCTGTAGAGCCCTCAGCACAGGAAAGACATGGACCTGTCGTAGCAGGTAAAGAGGAGGGACACAAAAATGATCCGAGGGCTGGAGCACCTCTCCTATGAGGAACGGCTGAGAGAACTGGGGCTGTTCAGCCTGAAGAAGAGAAGGCTGCAGGGAGACCTTGCAGCACCCTTCGAATACTGAAAGGGGGCCTATAAGAAAGTTGGGGACAGACTGCTTAGCAGGGCCTGTTGCGGTAGGACAAGAAGTAATGGTTTTACACTAAAAGAGGGTAGATTTAGACTGGATGTAACGAAAAAAATTTTTACCATGAGGATGGTGAAACACTGGAACGGGTTGCCCAGAGAAGCAGTGGAGGCCCCATCCCTGGAAACAGTCAAGGCAAGATTGGACAGGGCTCTGAGCAACCTGGTCTAGTTGATGATGTTCCTGCTCACTGCAGAGGGGTGGTGGACCAGATGACCTTTAAAGGTCCCTTCCAACCCAATCTATTCTATGATTCTATGATAACAGTGATGAATTTTGGGTTTCCTTTACCCTGAATATGGTCACTAGTCTAGTGTTGTTGCCTGGCACCATATCAGCTTTAGATGAAGGAGCATCTATTTTACTGCATGATGACTTTTGTCAATCCTTTCATTTCACACTTACGGAATTTATATGAGTGAATTTAATTTAGAATTTAAAGTTAAAATTTAAATACATTGTACCATAGTATCACAGAACTGCCCAGGTTGGAAGAGACTTTGAAAGATCCTCTGGTCCAGCCTTTCATGGAAAAGGGAGCCTATATGAAGTTATTTAGTACCCTGTCCAATCGCTTCTCAGAATATTGCAATCCTTCCTGTGCTATAAACCTTCACATATACATCACAAAATGAAATTCCTATGTAATTTCAGAGTTCCTTTGCTCTTTGAATATCTCTAAGTGTATGTGCTAATTATTAAACTGTGAGAGTAAGTATATATAACAAAAATATGTAATCAGTACTGTGATTCTAGAGTTTCAGAGTGGATATCTGTAAATTCTGAGAACATTTACAGCTTAATAAGCACAGATATGAAGATTATAGTGTTGAATATATGTACTATAAGAGATATTTCTCCACTAGATGGGTATGAGAGATGGGATACGCAGAATACTTATATAGCAGCCAAACAGCTAAAAGCCTTCAGGGTTTTGAAGCTGTTGTAGGCAGGAGGGAAAGTACTCTTTGAGACTCAAAAAGCTGATTCACTGTATTTTTGTGGAAGCATTGGGGGCTTTAATGCACATGGGATTATTTTCTCTCTGACTATATTATCCTTTATTTGTTCTCAGCTTCTCTATCAGGGACTAATCCTGAGACAATTTATATTTTTTCTCATGAGGCTACAGCACAGTTTACATCCGATTATTCTGAAAATTACAATGGATTTAACGCAACATACACTACATTTAATGCAAATGAACTAAACAGTAAGTGTTCTTTTTTTGTTTGTTAACCTGAAAGTTTGGTGAAACTATATTTTCAGTTTGACAAAATGGAGATGAAAAGGGAAGCAGTAATTTCTGGCCTCAGTCTACTAACTAGATACACTTTGAGAAATTTCATACTATTTTAAATATCAAATAATTGGTTTCAATAAAATTGTCCACAGGTTTACAGACTCGTATCTAGCAGTGGGGTGGTGCCTTACAAAGTTAATCCGTTTAGAGTAAAACTCTGGCTGTATCTTCCTCAGATTCCTCTCAACCAGTTTGTTCACTAACCAACACTGTTGAATCACTGGCACTAATCATTATTCTGTGATTGCCCAACAGTACCTGCCCTGCAGGTTTTCTGATGTTCTAACTCATTGCCACAAGTAGAAGCCCCAAATGGTAAAAACAACATTCAGGAAAATACCTGCTTCAGTAAACAGGCATTGGAAAAAGTCCAAATGCAGTAAGTGTGCACTGAAAATAAAAGGCAAAAATATGACTCATGCACTGGTGTTCTTCAGTAGTCAGAAAAAAATTTAGATGCAGTTTGGACAAGTGAAGTCTTCTTCGGCTGCTAAATTTTAAGCAGGATATGAATAGGGGGTGTGACTGGGAAGGGATATGGTGCAGGAAGCATCCAGAGTGCCAGTAAACATTTGTCATGTGGAAGCACTTTCTGGGGACTGACCTGCACTTCAAGGCACCATGAAAAGACACTGAGCAAAATATCATGGGAAGAAAAGTCATGAGGATGTTGCAGCAAAAGTGTATGTGAGCAAAGAAGGAGCAAAGGAGAAGGACAAGGAAATGAACATCCCTGGTGCATGGAGCACAGTACTCATCTCCTGAGCATTCAGCTCTGGTGGTGAGCCCTTTCAGCTGGAGCAATCCAGACCTTGACAAAGAAAAAAGAGCAGGGTTGGCCCTTAGTGTTAGTTATGCAAGGGGTCCTCCCTCGTTCCCCTACAACATTACTGGTGAAGGATCAAAAGAGAAGGTTGACAAATGAGTGCAAGAGCATATAGGGTCACCTTCAGTGATAGTGTTTTATTAACAAGTACAAATGACACATTTATTTGAGTAACTATGTTGCATTACATAGAAGAGGAAGGGGCTCAAGTTTTCAAACATATTTAAAAACATATTTAAAAACATATTTAAAAATTTACATTGTCACTCATTGTTATGTAATTCTGAGAAATTACTTAACATCTCTATCATTATTATTTACTAGAGGTTCTTATTCACAGATTATGAGAAGGTCAGTTGCACTTTTGAGGACGGTTTTTGTTACTGGATACAACATTTAGATCATACAATTGGTAACACTTCAGGTAAGATCAAATACAAGTTCCTTGCAGATTAAAGGAAAAGCTTGATTTAGCTTGTGTTATTCCACTGTATAATGGATTCTTCACAGTGGTATAATGGGGACTTAAGTTTTTTCTGCCATAAAAATGAGTCAGGGCTACCAGACAAAACATTTTGTGCTACGGATTGCCATCTTGTGGAAATGTACCAACACTAAAAGAAAAACTATAAAGTGATTAAAGCATGAGGTATCGTAAAGTTTCGATGCTATTACTATACCAAAGTGCCTTGTCTGAGAAAGGAACTTCTATTATGCAACAGTGTTATAGGTGGAATAACTGCATGTTTATCCTTCGGAAAAAAATAAGTATATTTACATTTTACCAAAATCACTTCTATTTCATCCATATCTACTGATAACATCCTCATGGTTGTCACAGGGTAATTTTAATTTAACATAAAGTTGACCTGCTGGGTACATAAGGCACCTGTGTCCCCAGTTAGAATCACAGACCAAACACAGTAATTCTCGGCACGTGTGCCAAGCACACAAACACTCCAGCAACTGCTGTAGCAAAACAACTTAACTAGAAGAGTGATTATGTCAAATGTAGGTTTTAATTAAAGAGACAATACTGATGGGAATCAGATTTTGAATGTGTATCACGAATGCTTATCCCAGAGTTAGACTCCAAAAGTGGTTTTCTGCTTCAACAGGAAAACCAATCAATCTCTTTCTCAGCAGCTGATTTGTCAGTCCAGCTAAAATTAGTTAACATAATTTGGCTTTTGCTGATGCTATATGTATTCTGTGCAAGACTTATACAGAACTTATTCAGTGACAAATAACTGCAAAAATTTCAAACTATTCTGGTTACTCCTAGGAAAAGAAAATTATTATTATTAGCATGTTATTGGACAGAAATTATTCAGCTCTCTCTGAGTAAATGCATATTTTCTAAAAAAATCTTCAGAACACTGTTTTATTTTCCCACTCGACTCCTAGAATACAAATCAACTGAAAGAATGTAAAATTAGCTTAATAAAATAATTGAGAATGATTTCTAGCATCTTGAAAATGCTAATTTATTTTAGGTGCTCTCTGTTTCACTGTGTTTGATCTAAGCTGACATATATAATATTGCTACATGTAATTTGCTATTATATTGCATATTCAAATTTCTACAACCTGCATTTGAAGTAAACGTGAGCTGCAGCATTAACATCTAGCTATTACATACATTCAGTGAGACAGTGTATTTTTGTTTTGCTGCTCTTGAAAAGCAAAGGACTTCATACATAGCAACAATTGATTCGGAATGCTCAGAGAATTAATGAAACAAAGACAGTGAACTGTCACTATGACTATATGAAGACCTTTCCTGAAGAACAATGTTATGCTCATTTTCTTAAAGCTAGACACTATGTAAAATTTAATGCATGCTTTCTAAGTCAACACAGCAAATGAAAGGCCTGATTCAGATTTCAGACTAATTTTCAGGTACTTTAAACTCCCACATGAAAAAGCTACTTAATATACAATTATAAATAACAGAAAATAGAAAGAAAGAAAGAAAGAAAGAAAGAAAGAAAGAAAGAAAGAAAGAAAGAAAGAAAGAAAGAAAGAAAGAAAGAAAGAAAGAAAGAAAGAAAGAAAGAAAGAAAGAAAGAAAGAAAGAAAGAAAGAAAGAAAGAAAGAAAGAAAGAAAGAAAGAAAGAAAGAAAGAAAGAAAGAAAGAAAGAAAGAAAGAAAGAAAGAAAGAAAGAAAGAAAGAAAGAAAGAAAGAAAGAAAGAAAGAAAGAAAGAAAGAAAGAAAGAAAGAAAGAAAGAAAGAAAGAAAGAAAGAAAGAAAGAAAGAAAGAAAGAAAGAAAGAAAGAAAGAAAGAAAGAAAGAAAGAAAGAAAGAAAGAAAGAAAGAAAGAAAGAAAAGAAAGAAAGAAAGAAAAAGATTATTAGCCATTATTTCAATAAAACAATAAATTGATTTTAGGATTTTTAACTGTCTAATTTTGCTTTTCTTATGACAAATAGCAACACTTCTGTAGCCTGGCCTCACATTATATTTCCATATGGCAGCAAGAAGTTCATATTCCCAGCTGCAAGGAATGAACTCTAAAAGCTAAAAACCCTATTTCCGCAAATAATGTATTTTTCTTGTTTATAATGCTTCCCTTTGCTATAAAATATTCATGTAGTCATTGTCTCACCCCCCTCAACACAAAACCCATATTTCCCATTATTATGTGGATAAAAAATGTAAAAATGTCAGCAAATTCTTCTGCAGAATCACAAGCAATATCAAACAGGAAGACATTTTTATAAACTAAGTAGGAATCACTCAGGTGAATTGTTGCCTTCACTAAGTAAAAGGCAGATCTCCCACTGACTTCAAAATGGCTAGTTTTCCATTTCATATCTAGTTCTGAGGAGTGTCCAAGTAGCTTAAAAGATCATTTTAATATGTCAGTGGCTGGTGAATGCAACTGGGGATAATCATTCACATCTATTGTGTCAGAAATCTTCCAAGTCATGAAACACTATCCGTGCTTGATATTATTTTTAACATAAAGCATCTCATTTAAAAAAAAATAAATCAGTAATTCTGTACTGACTAAAATGTGTTCATTATCTTGCAGGATTTTATATTTCAACACCCATAGGACTTGGATTCATAGAAGAGAGAGTCCGGATTCTGAGTTTGCCTTTGCTTTCTTCAGATCCTTCTTGCCTAAGCTTTTGGTATTGTTACATAATTCCTAAACATATACCTTGTTTAAGAATAAAATAAAATATCTTTCTTTCATATACAGTATTGCTCCAAGTCAGTGTGCCAGCAATACAGGCCTGCTTCTTTTAGGATTTCCATGATCAGTCTCAACTGCAGGCCTGAAAATTTGATTCCTTTATAGGTTTCAGTCTTGCAGTTACATTTAGTGTATTTTCTTTTTCACCCTGCATCAAATATTTACCTCTATACAGAAATTATATTAAGAACCACTGAAATGTTTTTTCTCTTGAAGCTTAACTAAGCCTCCATAGAAAATATAGTAAAGTACCAAGTAAATCTTCCAGGTGTTATCTAAATATAAGATTCATTTTACTTTCATGCTTACTGCAAATTAGTCCCAATTCTATAAAACAATTTATAAAATAAAAAGCCTGATATTTTTTCGTGAAATTTCACTTTGTTCTAACACCACCAAAATTGTTCTTCCGTTCCTAGGTATTTCATGTACGGTACTAATGTTTACCTTTTAAGAGTTAGCACAAGTAATGAGCATGGTTTGGAAAAGATTATTTTCCAGAGACAAGGAAACTACGGAAACATGTGGAATTATGGACAAGTAACTTTAAATGAAACATCTGATTTTAAGGTTTGTTAAACCACTAGGGTTTTTTAAAATTTGTTTTACCTAAACTTATATCAAAATTTTATGCCAAATGAACTAAATGATCCACAGCTCCAAAAAGAATATCTAGTGCTATTTGCTAATGTGTGCCATCAAATAAATGTTAGAATGCAGAAGATTGGAGTCCCCACTTCAATTGTCATCGCCCTCCTTCCCTACTCTGGAATTTAAGGTATTATTATTGTAGAAAACAGAACACCTTGAAACTGTCATGGGACAATCAATGTTATCACAAAAGAGAGCTTTCCACAAAGCAAGACTGTTCAAAGCCTATCAAAATCTGATGTGGAGTTTAAAATCTTGACAGTGAGTGTGATATGAAGCACATAGCCATGAGAAGACTTATATTAAATAACTTCAGATTCTGAAGCAGTATTTTCACTAACTAATTAGAGAATAATTCACTGAAAGTGTGTTCCAGACAGAAATGTATTTGGTGCCACATGGTTAACAACCGACCTGACTTATCTGTAAACAAAAGGAGGAGACCTATGCTAGACAATTCCTTCATTAACTCTTTATTGAAAACAATTTCTTTCTACAGGTATTTGGGATGGCTTGTCCTGCTATAGTAGTTTTGACTGATGCAAAAGCACTGCCAGGAAGATGCATTTACCATCTGAGGAAGTAAATGCATCTGTGATCTGGCTGCATGAGATTTCCAGCAAATGCATGTTTTATGACCCCAAGAAGAGTGCTATACCTAGCTGTATTTCACCAGCACAGATTCCTTGGTAGCAGGATTACTTTAAATACATGGATGTTAAAGCACAATAATAAACAAATGAGATTAATTTCAATTTTTCATGGATAAATACCATTAGATCCAGAGTTTAGACTGATGAGATGAGTGATACAGAATTTATTTTTCAAAAATTACATGTATTTATATATAAAAAGTAAAGTTATTTAATAGTTTTAAATCATGTTTATAATTTATATGAAAAAATTCCTGCATTCCTTAGAATGATCCATTCAATTTGCATAGCACTGCTTCATTTTGCAAGGAATCCTGTCTCATCCCTGATGCCCTCCTCTGAGTGTGGCACCTGTGTAGATTACAGTGGAAATAAAAACATTAAAGAAAGAAGACAGAATGATTTAGCTGAAAAATGCTTAATTAAATTACAAAATTCTAATTTTTTTCATGAATTTCAGGTTATTTTTGATGCCTTTAAAAGGAGTGGTCCCAGTGATATAGCCTTGGATGACATTGGCCTGACAAACGGAAAGTGTAATGAAAGTATTTATGTAGAGCCAACTGTGATTCCAGCTGCCACTACTGCCCCTTCAGTTCCCAGTAAGTAAACACTGAATTACAGTTGACTGCCTGATTGCCTTTTCCTATTACTGTATTTGTGTATGAGTGATTCAGAATTTTCAGCCTTCAGTTTTATAAAAATCTCTTCAGCATTATAAAACTATCTTCAGAATAAAAAACTAGGGATCAAGTTCCCTGCCCATGGCTCCACTGATATCAACAGAACTGGTAGATTCACAGGTTAAACTATCAGTACGGTATCTTCCAAAACTTGAAGAACGGAGGATAATGAAAGAAATCAGAATCTGTCTCCAAAAGCTTTAATTAGTAAAGCTTCCAGGAAGCCACTGAAGGTGAAGGAAGAAGAAAGAGAAGGAAGATTATAACTTCTATATTTGAAATTACAAGCAATGTAGCAGGCGACTAAAAGAATGAGCAAAGTCACATGATAATATCACTAGAGGTCTCAATAGTAAAAATTCACCAAGCTGAGAACATACAGATGCTGAAAAATACCATGTTTAAGAGAGTGAATCTATAATAATGCCAGCATGGTTTAAGAATGGAGCAGAGTCTATATGCGTGTCTAATACTCAGAACAGAGGTATTATCTGGAAAAAGGCTCGCAATGAATGAGTCCTTTTCAATAGGCATTTGGTTGTATTGTTATTCCTTCTATATCTGATTACATTAAAAATGAAAAATAAAGCAATGTTTATTTTGAAGAAAAATTAAATATGGAAGCAGAAAGGACAGAAGGACAGTTAGCAGATCTTGTTTCAGAGGAAATGAGTGGGGAAAAAAAACCAAAAACGGTCAAAGGACTCTTTCCACTCCCTGATCTAATGAGACATTTCAATATTTGCATAAATTACACAATGTGTCAAAACCTGATTTCTTCAATCTTGCCTTTACCAGCTCTACTCTTCGTGGTAAGGCAGAAATGATGAGTAGGTGCTTGCGCTAGTAATAGTGGATGCGGCTTTTTACCTGCTTGATAGAGCCTCATCTCATTTCATCTCACTATCTTCTTGGCACCACTTCTGAATCCCAGGTTCGATGGGAAACTGGAGGAGGGTTGGTTTGTCTGCGTATTTTTGCCACCTTCTCCAAGTCAAGTAGAAATTAATGAAACATGAAACGTCTCTACCTGTAGCGCATATGCACTTCTCCAACAGGTTGTACAGCTTAATCCAGACACATCACATTGCAGAGTCTTTTAGAGGAGAGAACAGAGATTTAAGCTTTCTCAAAATATTACAGTTTCACAGGGCTAGTTAGAATAATCTCACTGAGAAAATATTAAAAAATACCTGTAGCCATCATTATAATTCTGGAAAATGTACGTAAAACAATGAAAAAATATTGCATATGATGTTGACCAGGTCCATGCACATTCAAAGCAAAAACTGCTACAAATATGAATAAAGCTTGTGGAAAAAAATAATTAAAATATCTGATAAGGCTTTGTAAATTATTGTGAAAGAGACATGATCTTTATGCAAAAAACAAGGTTTCTACAGAAGACCTATTGAGAGATGGCTTAAAATCATTAAAACAAACGAAGTATTGTTCCAGGACTGCTTCCTTTCAGATTTACTGTCACTTACAAAGCACAGGTAGTTGCTCTCTCGACAACACATAGTAAATAAAAATGGTTTAAAATTAAAATAATAGAAAAAGGCTGTTTGCACTGTATACATGTTGGAGCACAGTCTACTCATATTGTCATTCTATCAAATCTATCACCTCTAAAACTACTGCATCAGGACAGGTAAGAAAACAAAATCTTCTAAATACAAGAATGAAATTCAGTTTTGGAGCTCCATCCTGAGACACGGGGAGGTGAAGTTCAACTTAGTAGGCATGGTGGTGATGGGTTGATGGTTGGACTTGATGATCTTAGAGGTCTTTTCCAACCTTAATGATTCAATGATTCGATGATTCTGTAAGATGTCTCTCTCAGCAAAATTAAATTATAATAACACTAGTAATTTTAGTCATAATTTCCCTAAGTGAGTTTTGGAATCTGATTGCAGTTTTCACTGAAGTAATACTGTGGAGAGGTGCTGACGTCTGCCACCTCCAGCCATCTTTCAGGTTATGTGGGTAAACACACCTTACAAGTTGCATCAGTCTAATGATTAGTGGTAGAACAGCCCTGTGGTAAATAGTAGCTGACTGCTGCTGTCAAAACACCAAAGAAATGTAATTCAGATTATAGATCTCTACCCAAAATATGGTGATAAAGTTTGAATATTCAAAAAATGGAAGCGACCAAGTGGCGTACAGCTCCTCATGAAAAAGATTAGAGAGGACCCATACTGAACTTCAATACAATACAAAAGCACAGTCTAAGCTGTCGCTGGGGAAAAACTAATTTGTTTGCATAACTTTGTTGAGGCATGCTATGTATACGCTATCTGTAACCTGCTGAAAAAAAGTCAATGTTATCAATCATCTTCAAAGTATGAAATTACTTTGATGGATGTGGTGCAAACTTCCTAACACTAAAGGTTTCACTACAAATGTCATGTCTATAAACATGAGATGAAAGAATTTGAGCTGAGCCAATGTCTTTTGTTAGACTTAAAGCTTCAGTAAGAGGCACTGGTTTCATTCACAGTGCCACAAAAGCTCACTGAAAAGTCAAAAAAATTTTTGGTGGTGGGGTAGGGAAGCTGGATTTGCTTTTGCCTTTTGCACAAGACTGTCAGCTTACATTTTCATCTAACATAAACATTGCCTTCATCTTCATATTTATTTATAACCTGTCTTTTAACACAAACAACAGTGTGGAAATTACAGTGCAAATTCCACACTTAAGATGTGTATATCAATATAAATTGAAGTTTTAGACAAATCACAGAGGAATTTTTTTATGAATAGGTCATATATCATTTTCTACAGTGTTGAGAAAATCGTCTGTTATGCTTAATGAAAGGCCCAAGATTATTGGTGTTGATTGTTATTTGGTTCTCTAACAAGTGACAGCTATATGAATAACTCCATCTAAATTTATGCTTAGAGATCACAAGAAATTTTTAAAACATTTTTTTCCAGACATGAGTAAAATCTGTCGTTTCTCCATGCAAGAGAAAGAAGATCATTTCTAATGTGGCTTACGTGTAGTCAACACAAGATCAGATTTCATCATAGGTTGCCCCTACTCTGCTGTTAAGGGAGTTGGGTTTGCTCTGCTCATATCATCCGATGATACTGGCTAAGAATCATATATTCTTCATGCAGCTTTATAAAAGTTGTGTGTCTGTTTGTATACGCAGTAATGTTCCATAAAAAAAACCCCAGTGTACTTTTCATTTGTTGTTAATGGTATTTACAGGAAGTAGTCCTCATTGTGAGCCATACAGCTGAAACATTACGCACTTCTTAGTCAATGTGTGATTGTCATCAGTTCCTTTTCCTTTCAGAGAGTTCCACATTTCTTGCCAGGAGTGATTTGGTGAAATAGAAAGTTCTATAAGATGGCTGTCATGAGAAAGTTCAAATCTTTTTTGCATTTAGTGGAGCTTTCTCCCAGTGGGATTCAATGGGCAAACTCAGTAGGACTTTTAGATTATGCAGTCCCCAACCAAGTGGCTCAAGTATGCAATACTGACAGACATAATGAAATGCAAAATTTGAGCCGTAAGAGGTGGTGGGAGTGGAGTGTTAAAGATTAGCCAAAGTCTGAAATTTTAAAAAATCAATTTTAATTCAAAGAAAAAACAACAACAAAGAAAAAAAAAAAGGTAGATTTCTTCTGCCTTAACTTCTATATTCTGAAGCAGGTGGAGAGGAGCTGTTTATTTTTTAATAAAGTAATTGCAAACCACAGAAGTGGGAAAACACCAAAGTTGATTCTGATGCTACAGTTGATATGAAAATAAATCATATCTCTCAAAATGAAGTAAAGATTTAGGATAAGAAGCTGACATATTTCGGACGTAAACCACTATCTAAACTGTATTTTGAAAGAGAATATTGAATGTATAAAGTACAATTAGCTAGGTCTATGTGTGTGAGTGCATATATTTGTATATGTACATATCTATAATATTTGCTTTTAAATATTATTATTTCATTTTTATATACAAGTGCATATACATGTTTATGATAAAGACCTTTCTTATTGGAGCAATTGTTTCAAGGAAAAAGCAAATGGCTGCTTTTACCACTTACAAGGTTTAACTGTAAAAGGTTTTAGGGTCCTGATGAAATCAAAATAGCAGTATGAGGGGTTTTTTGTTATACAGTTTATTTGCTACACAGTTTATTTGCTACGTGACAAAATGGGTTTTACACTTGAGTATCTCTGCTAATGCTGCAGGAAGATCAAATTGATACTAAGCAAGGCATAAAAGCTAAGTGCATAAATAACAGGTTGTATTTGGTGGGGGCTTGCTTTCTTTGACATTTTCTAGCTTTTATATTAATCTACTAGTAAATTAAACAGTTGACTGTATCACATTCTTTTCTTTATATTTTCTGTCATGTGCACATCTTGCAGACCAATAATCACTAAATGAAGTACAGACTGTGTCCTTCTCCTAACTGTATGGGGAAGAATTCTCATAGCATCACCATGAATACAGTTGTGCACCTGGACACTAGCACTTCACAAAGAGAAATATATGAACTATAGCTGTAGATAACACTATGCATCGACTGTATGTGTCTTCAGGTCTGACTTAGACACTGTAACTAATAAGGACAGTGAATTTCTTACATATCTTGTTTCCTCAATCCTCTGTGTCCTTCCTGGAGCACTGGCTTCTCACAACTCATTGTTCAAGATTTACACCAGTGGCACCATAACTGATCACCTTACAATGATGATGTTCGCTTGAATATCCTCTTCATAAGATTACTTTCTCTAAATTATCTTTGTTAGAATGGATTTCAAAAGTAAGAAAATAGGTTAATTATGTTTTTTAAATGTTTTCTTTTTCAGCTGAGTGTGGAGGGCCATTTGAACTATGGGAGACAAACAGTACATTCAGCTCTGAAAACTTTCCAAACAATTACCCTAATCAAGCTTCTTGTAAGTAGTTCTTCTTCAAGTCTTCAGGAAAAGTTTTGCCATATAAAAGTAGAGATACTAAATCTGCTTTCCCAAATCAGATGCTGTCAAGCAAAAAAAGATCTAAGATATATACAGTGGGATCTTTTAACTGAAGTCTATATGACACTTAGCAGAAGTTAAGAAGTCATGTGCCAGTTGATTACAAAGTGATGAAGGCAAGCATAATCCTGTAGAATGGGTTCATACAGGCCAATTCCATCATGCCTCTTATGTCAAATATATTTATGTCAATGCAACAACAGACTAGGTGTTGAAAGTCCTCATTTTAGCGTTACACCTTAATGTATTTGCCAGGCTAATATCATCCTCTCTTCTGTTAAATACTTAAAACCTTTTCTAGGGGCAAAGAATGTGTGTATGCATTTTGCAAAGGAATTTCTCTTTATCGAATGTTTCTTACCATACAAGTGAAAATACATCGTTATCCCACTGATGTTACTTGATTTACATATAAACTACAGCTGGCGAAAGGGAAAATGTTTCAAGGTGGTCCACTGTGTTGTTGATGGATGAAGCAAGGAAGAGAGCTTTGTCATTGCTTCTTAATGAAATTTAAATTTTTTATTATTTCACCTTTAACTGGAGAATTGTGTTGAGACGCTAATCAAAAGAGTTGTAATTTTGTGTTTCTGTCCTACTTGAGATATGGCTCTCATTTCCAGGTATTAATTTCAAAAGTTCCCAAATGAGATTCCTAATAGTGAGAAAATACTTTTCATTCCATGAACAGATTAAAAAACAGTTGTATTTTTTTACTTGCTTTACAATATTTCCATAGTATCCACACTTACATAGATTACATACAATAAAGCATAGGCTAAGCAGAAGCAAATATTTGTTCCCTGAAAAGACATCTGACTTGAAAGATAGGCTTCTATGACTGATTATAGAAATTATCTTACTGTCAAATAAGACTTAAATTACAAGACTATTTGTCACATTTTCACAGTTACAAATGAATTAGCTTTGCTGCTTTAGGGAAATTCACAGTTGTCATGAGTAGTAAAAAATGTATGTGTGTGCCATAGGAACGTAAATCCAGTTTTCAAGAGGATTTTAGAGATGAGAGTCAGTTGAATTTTGGATCTTAACAGCAGAAGTTGCTTTTAAAGATAAGACTTAGATTTCTAAGTCTCCTGGGTGATTGTTAATAGCAGAGATTTTTTTTCCCCAAAAATCCTTTAACATGAAAATGACACAGTAAATGTAACAAATGAAAAGGTGGGTTTTGTGTGTGTGTTATTATTTTCTAGGTGTGTGGTACTTAAATGCTGAAAATGGAAAAAACATTCAACTTCATTTTCAGGTTTTTGATCTGGAAAATATTTATGATGTTGTTGAAGTCAGAGATGGCAGAGGACCAAATTCCTTACTTTTAGGCAAGTAACAGGGTTGGATACTAAAATGAATGTAATCAGAGAGCTGGAGCAAACTTATGGATATAGTATTAAGGAAATTACTTCTCTCTAATTTCATTCTACATTTCTTTACATTTTTGGGTCTCAGAAATTAGGAGGAAAACTTGAGAAAGCATACAGTATGTGATATCACATTTCCCAAATGTTTGCACACACTCAGCTTTCTATGCAATCCAAATAGAATTAACTTCTCAATAAATGAGACTGCTCATGTATCTGGACAGAGAAGCATAATCTCTTAGTCAAACCTTATTTTTCTGTACTGATGTCTCAAATTTGGGGTTGAGCTTTGATCATTGCAGTCTAATAGCAGTTAGATTTGTGGGAATAAATGTATTTACATGATAGCAGTATTTGTTTTTGAACCCAAAACGTTTTTAAATACACAAGAACAAAATAGCTTAAATGTTTTCATGTTCTCCTGGAGAGTAGCTGTCTATACAGGACAAGACCCATTGCCAGATGTCTTCTCTACAACAAACCAGATGACAGTAATCCTCTTTACAGACAAGTCTGAAACAAAGAAGGGATTTCTTGCAAACTTTACTACTGGCTACCGTCTAGGTAAGCATACGAACCCTTGTATTTAAGAGGTTATACCACTGGTCAAACACATTTGAGAAAAAGTGGAGAGCGGAAGGTGGCTCTCAGCCTTTGATCAACAGAAATATGAATATGTTAAATAGAAAAAGCCTATCAATTACCAATCAGTACTTTATGTTTTCTAGCACAAAAAGTGATGTTTTTGTTGCTTTAGTTAAATTGGACCAATGTATGCATCATCTGCAACTCTGTGTGATATTATGCGAAAGATTGACTCAGTATTTTGACTGAAAGCTATACAAATGATAACAGAGCAAGTATGAACTATTCTTTGTACAAGCCCCAGAAAAGAACATCACTTTGTGACTCATTTGAGGGTGTCATTAATGTGTGTTTAAATGCATTTGTAAAATATTTATTATCGATCACATTTACTAGAACAGAAAAATATATACTGTAACTCTGACTAATGTTTGCAATATGGTCCTTTTTGCATCTTTAAAAATTTGGTTCTTAGCACGTGAAGGATCTGGGAATAGTTAGTCATTTATATATTTGGACAGCAGTGTTTCTGGTTGCAGCCAGTCCCCTTCTGAAAGACTCCTGCTTTTGTTGGGGACTGCAATTAGAGTTGTCACTCATGTAAGTAATTCAGCAATCAGCTCTCCGAAAATATGCAAAATGGAGACAAATGCTAAAGTACATGGAAGAGCAATATGCTCACCAGGACAAATACTTACATTAACTCTAGGCCAAATCTTGATGGAATTAATTAGAGGCTTTGTATTCCTTGTGTGGAAGTCTCAGAGCAGAAAAATGAGAAAGAAAAAGCAGTGTATATTCAGAGATGTTTTGTGTATTCAGAGATGTGTGTAGTACCATTCATTTGCATGAACAGAAAATCAACAAGCTACACTCTTTTTCTTACATTAAATATCATAAAAGTAAGTGTCTCCCAGCAAGTTTCAAGAGTGGAAGCTTTTTTATGGATTAAACGTAATACAAACATTAATTTTCCTAATCTTTAAAAAACTCTTAACCATTGATTTACTTTTGTAAAATCAACTCCTTTTAGTTCCCTTGCACAAGACTGAGAGATAGGTTTATACGGACATATGACCATTTTGCTGCTTCTTGTTCTGCCTTCTACCTACATTTGTTCAGTCCAACAACACTATGCCTTTTTTTAGCTGATTCAGCATCTTTGCTGAGCCAGTTTGGCCCATATTTTGTTGTAAAATAAAAGTTAAGCTTAGCACAGCAGAGTTCTCAAACTGACCACTACCTATTCTGTTTAATATATTAAAAAGTTTCCATTTGTGAAAGAATTATGTGTATTCTTGATCTTTGAAGCCAAAGGACAGAGACTGATATCATCAACACGCAGGCCCAAGGACAAAAGGACTGTCAGTAAATAAATAAATTTTACAAGAAGAGCAGATTTTCCTTTGTATTTTATTTTTCCATGAAATATTAGTTTTTGAAAAGGAAACATAATACAAAAAGAAATAATTTTTGGCAGTATGCAGTATAAAAACCCACCTGTTTCAGTGAGAACTAAGTTCTATGGAAAATCTGGCATCAGTTACAGCCAATGAATATGTGAAAATCCTGGTTCAGGTCTTTTGTAAACCTTATTCTTTTGCTTCCAACAGGCTGTACTGACTGATAAATGGATTATTTTCTATGGATATTAAAAATTCAGAAGCAAAGCAATTATCTTGCCTTAAATAAGAATTCTAGATAATTAAATGCTTCGATCAGTAAGTCCAAGAAGGTAAAATAAAGAAAATAAACAATTTTCCATAGAATTCAAGTTTATGACTGTATATTTCCTGTTAATATAGGGAATGGTGCGATTAAAAATACACTTTGGCATAGAAAGAATTATAACTTTGTTGATTCACTATCTGATCTGCTTTTGTTACATAACTGATACTGAAGCAGCTTAATCCTACTTTTCTGAATGCTTTCCTCATTCATTTCTGTTACTTTTGTCTCTTCCACCTTTCCTCCCAGACAGGTTTTGAAAGGAGACTCTTGGCTTTCAATGCCTCTTTACTTGTATGTTTGACTTGATATACTTTAAGGTCTCAAAACTTTTGTGAAACATCTGAACATCTGGAACTTGACATCATTAGTCACTTTTGACAAGATTTGATCAGGGTTTGACTTTTCTCATCCCTCTAAAGTTTACTACTTGTAACAGAAGAACACTAGTGAGTGAGCAATGCTAACTGTAGCAGAAACTACAAGGTATAATACCACAGTTTTTATTCTTAATTAGCTTCTATTTATCTGAAAATAATCTTTATTTCAAAAAAGAGAGGGATAAGAAAGCAAAGAAAAGAAAATCCAGTGTGCCTACTAGCCACTCAATTTTTCTTTCAGGTGAACAGTATGATCTCCAGGGAACATCAGTCTTCCTCATAATTATGGATTAATTTTCCTTTCCTGTTTTCCTTCAGGAGCTTGTGCCACTGATGAGTATCAGTGTGGTAGAGGGGAGTGTATACCACTGTATAACCTTTGTGACAGCCTACCTCAGTGTGAAGATGGCTCTGACGAAGCAAAGTGCGGTAAGGTTTCCTTCATACAAAGCAAAGGAATACATGGATATTTGGCAGGAATCACCTAGGAAAACAGCCACAAAGCCTCAGCCAGCATGAAGTACTGCAGCTGCATGCAGGCCATACCAGTTTACACAGCAGTCTCTCATTGAGTTTTTTAGGGCCAAAAAAATTAAGTGACTTTTCTGACATGGTGTATGTAAGCTGGTGAAGATCTCTGGAAAAGGTAGGAAGTTCCTCTGTGCTTAAAACTGTAGCTGCTTATAACGGCTTCAAAACTAAATGAAAAGAGATCACATGCTCTTCTTCTGTATAGATTTCATATTCTCTAATTCTACCACTTTTTGCTGTAATTAGAGTTCCAAAGCAGTATAAATTCTGCAGTGTAGGGCAGAGAATAAGAGTCTTCTTGATGGAAATTTCCATATAGTCTTGTGGATGTGAAGCCAAACTGCAGCACGTGACACCCTCCAGCCTGTCTGGACTCCATTCTGTGGAGGCATTGCTGTAGGATGAAGGGATGGCACAGCTGCAAAAGTAGCATTCATTACTCATAGTGGATGTGCATGTTCCTACAACAGGGAGACCAACAGCTGCTATTGCTTAGTCCTCCGAGAAGATGGTTCTTTCCAAAATGCAGGTGTACAATATATGGCTTTGTATCACATAACACGGAAATAGTATTCTCTAAACAATAATTTACATATAAAACTGATGTTAAAATCATGATGGGCCTAGCATAGAATTTAAATTGCTGTTTCTAACAAAGTGCTGTTCTGACAATATGTTATGGAGCACTAACAGAAGAGTTAAAAGTGGGCTTTTAAGCTCAGAACATCATCATCTTCCTTCATCTTAAAGAGGACTGCTAAGGAGCATAGAATCATAGAATCGTAGGTTGGAAGAGACCTCTAAGATCATCAAGTCCAACCGTCAACCCAACACCACCATGCCTACTAAACCATATCCTGAAAATGCCACATCTACACAGTTATTGAACACCTCCAGGGATGGTGCCTCCACCACTTCCCTGGGCAGCCTGTTCCAATGCCTGACCACTCTTTCAGTAAAGAAATTTTTCTGAATACCCAGTCTAAATCGCCCCTCCACATCAGACATGTCCTTTCATGTGTGCTGACAGTTCTCATTGATTTCAATGTCTTTTACATGCATATATATATATTCATATTGATGCCATATATAAATACATGTGTGTGTATATTTATATATCTGAAGGCACGGATTCACTCTTCACAGTAGTGCAATTAGCTATTTTGTTGCAAACATATTCTTCCTTTAAAATGTATAGAATAAAAATTCACTTCAGCTTCTTCTTAAGCAAAGGGAACATTGAATGGTTTTTCCAGCCATTGCTAAAGAAGATCTGAACAAGATAACCATCACCTACATTAACATGATGTACATTTTTCCAAAGATTTATTTTTCCATAGATTGTCTAGTACTTCATAACAAATTACCTCACATTAAAGGACTGGGAGTATACTTTCCAAAACCCCATTTAATCCAAACATTAGCTGAAATAAACTGAATCAATCTAAGCCTTAAAATAAAATGAAAACTCAATGAGACATTCTCACATTGTGACTTTTCCGTGTCCAGAAGTCTTGCTCATTTTCCTGAAATGAATTTCCATTTCTTATCAGAAGTGGCAAATTAAACTAGACAAACTGTCATTTTCAAATACTCCAACTTCTGAAACTTCTCAGATGCTGCAAAGAAAAGGCATAAGATGCCTCTTCCTTTGCAGAGTTCTAAAATATATGACATTTGAATTAAGAAGTCAGTGAATGCTCAATGACTTTCTTATTCCTTACCAACAATGTATTTGGAGAAGAACATGGATCTGATAGGGAGAAAGGAAAAGGAATCATAGTGCAAGTAAAAGAGAGGAGAGGTGTCAAAAGAAATTTGGAGAAATTTCACAGTGCACACAATTCTGAGATTTTTCAAGACTGCTAGAAAATTTCTCATGACTGAGGTTTACCATTAATTAATCACTGTATATTACTTCTTCCATTCACTCATGCTGGGTGTCAAAGAAGCATTTCTAAAAATCCAGTACTTTTTTTTTCTGTAACGGGTACATTTTACTTTTTTGTGGAAATATTTTGGTGGAAAAAGGTTTTCTGGACAACTAAGATTAAAAAAAAAAAAAAAATTAAAAATTGGCAACCAGTAATTTCAAATGCATTGTATGTTTTTCCCCACTTTATGCTGGTAATAACTGTCATCTGCCTGAAATGCGGCTGTAGCTCCAGAGACATATACAAGATTCTGTTCACAGAATCACAGAATCACAGAATCACAGAATCACAGAATGGTAGCGGTTGGAAGGGACCTCTGTGGGTCACCTAGTCCAACCGCCCTGCCGAAGCAGGGTCACCTAGAGCAGGCTGCACAGGACCTTGTCCAGGCGGGTCTTGAATATCTCCAGAGAAGGAGACTACTGTTGACATTCTTAAACCTTATGATCCAGCTTCCTTTGCCACTGTGCCAATAACATAAGATTTTTCACCAAATACTTAATGAGTTTCTGAATTTTTGTTCTGAATATTTTGGTCTGGGAAAAGATTTGATGAAAGATTAGTTTTCAGTGAGCTTTTATTATTTGTGTGTGTGTGTTTTAACCAAAGCTGCAAAGAAAACAGTGAACATTCTCATATCAATTGGAGCTGAAAGATCCTATTTTTCTGTCATCTCTGGTTTCTACCTTATTTCCAATCAGTGTTACCAAGCATCATGTAGCTAAATCTTCACACAGTATCTGGAAATTACATAATGTTTGCGAAGAAAAAACATCAGTTAGAGCTGATGGAAAATGTACTGTTTATTCTCTATTCGTGAGACATTTGCAAAACACAGGGTATGAAACTGTCCTGTGGCAGAAATATAGAAGGAGACAACAATAATATTTCCTTCCTGTGGGAACACAACATCCTGGAGATGCTGGGTTTATTACCACTGTAATGTATTTTAACATTTTTTTTTGGTTCTTTGCTGGCAATAATAAATCTGTTTATATTACATTTCTGTTTGCTTGGGGAAGAGGGGATGGTGGTTTACCACCTATCTAAAATGATTCTGTCCGTTTTGGTCTGCAGTGAGATTGCTTAATGGTTCTCTAAGCACCGAAGGGCTGGTACAGGCCAGGATTGGGAAGATGTGGCACCTGGCATGTGCAGATGATTGGAATGAACAAATTTCAGACAGTGTTTGCCAGCTGCTGGGGTTAGGGTGAGTGAAAAATGATCATTGACTTTGTAACTTGTTTGCAGGTTTGTTAAGTTTGTATATTGGTGTTTTCCTCATCGTTTTACTGGTTTCTTTACCATCACAAAAAAGGGCAAATATATTTTTCTGTGTCAAGTGAAGTGCTTGGTGTGCCAAAACATTTTTAAGTGTTGGAAACCCTGTTTTGATGGCATTCGTTACAGGATTGATGACTCTGAATATGGCAGGTTAAGCATGAAGATACATGCTGGAAAACACTGGGAGACTGATGTGGAGGTATTAGTCTTTTATCACTTTGTGTCGTCATTTACGTCTTCACTTTTATGAGGATGGCTCAAGAGTAAAGCTGGACCAAACAGCAGCCTTGGCTGCTCTGCTATCATACTGATGTTCATGTCAAGTAAATTCAAGATCATCACTTAGGTATTGTGATATTGGTCACCCAACACATTTCACACATCACTAGGCCTAAGTTGTTGGGAGAGGAAACTGTATTTCTCTTGATGTATATCTAGAGGAGGGAGGGAGGAGGCAAGTATAAGACTGAAAAAATAGATTTGGCTTCAGTCACTGTTCAGTAGAATTTCCAGGGAAGAGGTGGGGAGGGTTGAATGCAGAGGTGTTGTCTTTTTCAATCTATGGTAAAATTTATGGCCTAAATTCTGACCTTACTCACACTGTGTGCAACTTTACTGCTATCCAGTGAATAATAAATAGCTTTCCTACAATGCCGATGTTTTTATGAAATGTCACTCATCCAGGTAATAATCAAATCAAATCCTAAGCTTGCAATTCATTATGTTGGTCTCTGACCAAAGTAGGATGCCTGCAAATGCCCTTCTGATAAATCAATTGTAGAAATCACAGATTTAGAAGGACTTAGAAAAATATTCAAATGTTATTTGAAAATATTTTTAATCATTGGGTGAACGTGTGCTGGTTTGCTTTTTTACTTTTTTCCCTTTGGGCATTTACTGCATTTACATAAATATCAGATATCTGTATGCACAAATCCTGGTTGTAATCTATGTAGGTAGTTATCTCATTTATGCACGCATGTAAAAACACACAAACTATGACTAAATGTTCTTCTAGTCAAATACCTTGTACTTTACAGTGGCCAGTAGCCTTTTTCCTCTGATTCTTTCTCTCTCTCCCTCACCTCTTTTCCCTCTACAACTACTGGACACTAGTCATTTTGTGGTCTGTTGGTTTAATTTACTTTTTTATATTTGATAGGCTTCAGTGAAATTTGTCTTTCATGATACTTTCTATTACCTTTTCAAAATTACTTATGTTTTTGTCTCCATAATATTCTGTGGCAGTATGTTTCAGTTAGTCCCTATAAACTAGTCAGATACTTGTTAAAAAAAAAAATTCTATTAAGTTTCCTAGTTACTTTTTAAATTACATTTCTCATTTTATTACATATTCCCATTTTCAATAAAAAGTATTTTTAAACCTAAATTGCATCACATTCTCGTATCCTGTGTGCTACTGCTGTTACTGATCCTACTGTCTAAGATAAAATTCTCATATATATATACAAAACTCCTGTAAACATCACACTTTCTGCCTTCCACGAATCGTCTGTTGCAGCAGTAGTTAATAAGTGGCACCATATTTGTTACCAAATGGATGTTTGTAATAACAGGTCTTGAGAAGACTAGCTCACGCTCTTATACTGAATAATTACCTAGAATCATACCTTATTAGAGAAGGAGGCTAAGGTTCACCTAGGACAATTTACTTTTGCTGTTAATTGCTTACACATTTGCTAGTCTCCTTTAATGTTTAATTTATGAAAAGGACTGAAATGATACCAGTCCTGCAGCATATCCTGATTATTTATGTAGCTGGGCTAGAAAGTGTAATGTTCCACACAGATTCTAACAAATCACACATGTGAATCCTTTTGCCTCCATTTTTCAAATATGTGACTGCCGCATTTGTGATATGTGCCAAAGAGGAAGCAATTCTGAAGGCATGCCCATGTGTTCATCTACAAAATATGGCTTAGGCAAATAATTTACAAATTTATTGAGTCTGGGGTGCAAGGTGCACAAATTGATGCTCTTGAAAAACCTGAACAAGATCCTCTGCTCAGCTTGCACTTGTAACTGTGTGCATCTGACAACACTGTTAAAATCTGAGTATAGTTAGCATTGTTTTTCCTTGAACCAACAAAATCATATAGTGACCTTTTCACCATTCTGCTGGTGTGGCATGAAATATGCTTGTTTCTCTGGGACCAGAGCCAGCTGGGTCTTTACTGAATTGCACCCAGGAATGAGGGTAGACCTTGCAATTTTTCCATACCCAAAAGTCCAACAAGGACTGAGATTTTAAGACTTGCTCTCAACACTGCAGTCTATTTTCTTCATGTTGAGAAGGAAATGAGTTCTTTGCAATACAATGTCTTGTCTGAGATTTCCAGGTCAATTAGGTTTTCATCCTCCCCACTTATAAATGGTCAGTAGTAGCTACGTGCCTAGCTCCTTGAGACATCTCAGAAAATTCTGTATTTGACTGTCAGATCCAGCTTCTCCAGTGCGCAGAGAATATAACATATGGCCTAAAAGGGGTGGAAATGACCCCCAAAATTTATGCACACAAAAAAATTATACTGATGGATAAATTAGGATAATAAACAGATAGCATCAACTTACTCTTCTGTAGAGCCAATGAGAGTCATGTGCTGGATGTAAGAACCTGGTTCTCAGTGTGTAAGGGCTGTGTTTGCAGCGTTGAGGATTAGAATTAGGACAGTCCTAATAGTTTGATGATAGACTTAATTTCATGTCAATTGTCACTAAAGTAATAATGTGCACTTTGACCAGAAAGCCACAGGAAGAGCCTCAATGACTTTTTTTGGATTTGTAGGTCCACTGCAAATTACATAGGATGAGACACTGCTAGTAAGCTTGGCTTAAACCCGTTGCTTAAGATGCTTTATTTCAAATTCAGACAGTATAGAGAGGTTACTTTTATTTATCATTTGCAAATTTTCATATAAAAAATTGTGTGCATGCTAGCATTTAGAAAACAGCAGCTCTTCATATGAACCCACCTGTGAACAAAGCTTTTTTATGCCAAAGAAGGTGTTCACTATTTGTAATTTGATACTATTCTTTGTTGTTTGTTTTTCTAAACATCAGAAAATCAGCAGATGAAACAGAAACACTGTCTTGTGACTCAGACACAAATTAAATGAACTGCAAACATCCCACAGTCTGAGAACTAAACAATGAATTAGAAAATGTATGAACATATTTTCTTCAAGTAAGAAATGTGCTGGTTTTTTTCAAACAGGGAAAAGGATTGTAGCTATCAGACAATTGCACTTCTAGCCTTGTGAATACTTTTTTCAGCATGGCACTGTATCATCTGAATCTTTCCCAACATTTGCTACTGCTTATTGTTACTGAGCACATCTGAGGCAGAGCTAGAGGCAGAAATCATAGTGATTCATCGACTATTTAGGTAGAAGAGGACCAATAATATCTGAGCAATTTACTGCACAGATATCTCTGTAGATCTGTGTGTAAGAAGCTTCAAAGACTATTGTCTAAGTTTTCTGTAAGTTTTGCCAAGTGAGTATGTTGAATGGAATGAGAGTTACGTAATGCCTAGGTTAGCCTCTTAAAGGCCATTTTTGTCACAAGCTGCAAGATTTCTAAAAGATCATTTTCATTCACAGAATTTAAAGAGCTGTGACACTGTGTTTCTGGACATGCAGAACAAGATATATTCTTGTTATTAAGCTGAATATCTCCAGGAAAAGTGTATGTTTTCTTGTACTTACAGAAATGCTTAACCCTCATCATTTACCAATAAGTCAAATAAAAGAGTAGCAGATTCATTTTTGCGGTCATTCATAAAGCTCAGAGATTCCCAGTTGTGTGTGCTTCAGCACACTAAGAAACCAAATTAAATTATCAAAGGTTTCCTTAAAAGAGGGCTGAGATTTTATTTCAAAAGGATGGGGAAACTTAATAAAGCCCCTGTGGTTACAGAGAAGCTCAGAGAAGTTCCAGACTGTAATCCAGAAATTTCAGCATTTATATATTTAAAAAAAAAAAAAAAAAGTAGAAGAGAGAGAAATGGTTTGCTCAGTCTTTGCTGAAAAAGACCAGGAAAGATGTCAAGGTGAGATGAGAGATCTGCTTAAGTATTATGAGGTTGGTGGAAGCTTTGACTTGGAAGGTTTATAGTGTTTGCCCTATTACGGGGTCTATTACATTAATCTAGTACAACATACATGGATTCAGTTGAAGTTTCCTGGTATAATATGCCATGGAAAATGTAAGCCAGTAATATTCATAAATGTGTATACTCTAAGCTTTTCCTGGAAGCATGTTAATTTTTTACATTAGTGAAATCTTCTGCTCCCCAACTGTATCAAGAAACAACTTAGTGCCTTTTATGCACATTTGTACTTATCATAGCTCAGTGATTAGACTGGTCTTAGCAAAGTTCTTCATCACAGAATTTGACTCTACCCACCTGAGTGGGCACTTTACTACTGTCCTGGACCATCTAAAAGGTGAAGTCAGGGTTCTGGGGGAATCTCTGAAGCACATATTAGATTACTTCTGTTTCATATATGAAAAAATCTGTACGCTAGGCTGTACATCTATCTAGAGACAGAATTAAGCGCACTTTGTCATCTCCAGACTGAGAAATGCTGCAGTAACGACTTTTTCAGTAGAGTGGGTCATACAACTCTCTTAGTGGCACAGCATGGCTATTGAAAACCTCCTTTCTCCTATGCCTAATCTTACTCTCCATATGCAGCAGATTTGCAGGCAGATTCTAGACTTCATATTTCCCAGGATAATGGCATTTACTGCACTTGAAAAGGAGAGATGGTACTTCCTCGATACACAGGTGCTTTTTGTGTATTAAACCTGCACAAATGGTTCTCTTCTTGCTCCTGAGATACGTATGGATAAACAGTCAGATGGCAGTAGGTTGTCACCCCCCTGAAAAATTCTGTAGTCTGACCACAGCTATCTTTTCTCCCCACGCTTCCTCAAGAGAAAGCAAATATGTTTCTTGGGTGTATGTTCCAAGCTGGGCATATGTAGTGTCACGCAGTACATGATGCAGAATGGGTCATCAAGTAAATCTTGTTATGGGTTGTAAACATCAAAACAATTTATCTCACCAATAGTGCACAGAATTCTTGGTGTTCAAAAGGCCACCATTACAAAAGAAGTGAGTCAAAGCATACATCCCACTTCAGAGGAACTATCCTGTTCAATAGCAAACATGACATCCTTGACTTATTCCACAAACAGTTATTTTGATTTCAGCAGATCCATGAGGTAAAACTTAACTTAAGGAAGCAGCATTTATTCCATTAGATTTTTCATTATATAAAATATAGTTTCATTTCTTCTCTAGGCACAGAAGTATAGTATCGATGTAATTATCCTCCCTCAAAAAAGCAAAACAGTGATATTCCCAGTTTCAGCTATTACTGTTCTATTTTTCTTACCAAGTTTTAGCTCCATATATTTAATAATTGGTACTGCAAACCCTTCATTGTGGCATAGAAAAGCAGAAATTGGTAATTTACTGCTATTAAAATAATTAATTTCTGTCTCTTTCAACATTATTGTAGCATTAGAAATCTTAGAATAAGATGTAAAAGTAGGTGAGTCGCATTTTATTTCACGTGAGTTTCAATCCTCAAAATTCTCCTGCTAAATAGTCATTATTTCAGAAGAATAATGATGCAGTTTATTGCACCAGCCTAATCATTTCCCAAACATTCCTCCACTGGTAAAACAGGATAAATATCTAAAAAGATGAATGTGTGTCTTTTTGTTCCAGGGATGCAAATGCGTCATCAACTGTATTGTTCACTGGAGATGGCCCGTTTGTCAACATCACCAAAGCTGCTAACCACAGCCTAATATTTACAAAAAGGTGGGTAGAGTGAGGTTTCCTCCTCACATAAAGGATAACTTTAAGCAGGGTGGTGATTGTTTCTGCACTAACCTCTAGCTCAAGTTTATCTGAGAGGTAACATGATTCTGTATGAGGTCTGCACTGTAAACACATCTAGGTTTGGTTCTCTGTCTACTGCTGAATATTGTGTAACACTGGGCAACTCACTCTTCCCCTTTCCAGTCTTGTCCATCTACTGTAACTTTAAAAAGAGCGAGAAGCTTGCTACATTTTTAGCTCGCATTCAGTACAATCTGAAGTGCAGTCTTTATATGTTTAGTGTGGAAACAATAAATATTGTTATTTTTATGAAACATTTCTTATCTAGAAATCTCTTAGTTATGAATATATAATATAGTAGAAGAATTAAAATGGAGTGGCATTCACCTATGGTTATATAGTAGTTATCACACTAGGTTCTTTCCAAAATGAAAAGAGAAAAATAAGCACTCCAAACTGTGATCCATCAAGGCATCTCTTGAAATATGATGAGTCGCACTCTATGATCCATTGACTTTATTGATACAGACTTAGGACTAAGTACGGATTGCTAAGGTAAGCAATCCACAGACAGGTATCTATATTTAAACAAATTAGTCCCACTCAAAAATGACTTCTGGATTTGTCTCCACATTTAGAAATGAATCATTAGATGAGATAATCCTCAGAATACATTTGATTATATTCTAATCTTTCGGCAGAGAGGAACCTGATGAGTTCAACAAAGGCAAATGCAGGGTCCTGTACCTGGGGAGGAATAACCCCATGCATCAGTACAGGCTTGGGGAGGACCTGCTGGAGAGCAGCTGTGCGGACAGAGAGCTGGGTATCCTAGTGGATGACAGGTTGACCATGAGCCAGCAGTGTACCCTGGCTGCCAAGAAAGCCAATGGCATTCTGGGGTGCATTAGGAAGAGTGTGGCCAGCAGGTCGAGGGAGGTTCTCCTCTCCCTCTACACTGCCCTAGTGAGGCCTCATCTGGAGTACTGTGTCCAGTTCTGGGCTCCCCAGTTCAAGAAAGATGAAGAGCTACTGGAGAGAGTCCAGCGAAGGGCTACAAGGATGGTGAGCGGACTGGAACATCTCTCCTACGAGGAAAGGATGAGGGAGCTGGGCTTGTTCAGCCTGAAGAAGAGAAGGCTGTGAGAGGACCTAATATATACTTACAAATATCTGAAGGGTGGGTGTCAGGAGGATGGGGCCAATCTCTTTTCGGTACTGTAGGTGACCCTGCTTCGGCAGGAGGGTTGGACTAGATGACCCACAGAGGTCCCTTCCAACCCCTAACATTCTGTGATTCTGTGATTCTGTAACAGCTCAAGTGATTCTGAAGGGTCCTACAAACTGGTAGAGTTTCTTGTAGATTAAATGAAAATGTAACATTAGCACAGCATTATATTCTCAGGAAATTCTGGGATTTACAGTACACCTCCAAAAGGAGAAAGGCTTGCCATCATCAAATAAAAAAAGTACATGCAATTACTTCAGTTACTGTCTACTTGTAAGAGGGCTTATTATACATATTTTCCTGGAATCCCACCAAAAGCACTGAGGCACAAAATTACTGACTAATTGCTAAAATGCTGAAACCATGTTGAGGATGGCAAGAATCCATGTTCTTTCAGGTTTTCTTTATAAACATACCACATAGTAACAAAACAGAAGAGAATCCTTTATTTGCAATGCTATATTATATCTACAGTAAAAAAAAAATATACACCAGATATTTCATGTTTTAGTTATACTCTGTTAATCCCAAACATTTACCATTCCCACTTAAACTAATGGAATATCATTGGAAGTTATTTTTCTTTTTTTCTTGAGTGGATATCTAAACCAGCATTGCCACAAGAAATCTTAAAGAGCAGTAATGATTTACAGATGTCTTCTGTTAATATCTATTAAACACTAAAAAGTGATTGATACAGGAGGAAATGGAATAAGTTTATTCATCTTAGTTATATTTCTGTTGCAAAAATAGATATCTTCTTGTTTCCATGAATCCATGTTTCTGGACAGCTGGTAGGAATCATTTTACAGAGTAACGTCATTACAGATTTGCACACATTTTTTACATATAAAGAATGATAGAAAGATCATGTAGATTTGACAATTAAAAAACCCAAATTCATTAACTGGAAATCAAATTACAAAATAAATTTCTCATATTGTCTTTGGTCTTTGTTCAAGTGTAGCTACCATTGAAGCAAAGGAAGGCACATATAATAGAACCTGAAAGCTGTGGTGGCAGACAGCAAAACTGTTCTCCGATGCCCTTAGGTAATGTATTTCTTGGCAGGATAGCTTTGTAACAGAGCAAAATGTTGCCTTGAAGATATATGTGAGCAGATTCCACAGGCATAATGGCTTTTACCAGTCCTAAGTGAAGATCATACTCACAGATGTCCCAGCAACTCCAGATTTCTGCCCGGCATGCTGCTTCACGGATAACACTCAGAGAGGCATGTAGATGGGGTATTCAGCACATGCAATACCTCTGTTGCCTCTTGGACTCTCCCGTGCTGACCAAGAGGCAGCTGAGGACTGCCTAATGGAAGTGCAGGCAAGTGGCTTTCATGCTGGGAGATAGCTTCATCAAGAAGAAAAAGCAGAGGCTCATGAAGTAATTCCTACCAAAGCAATAAGTAGGTACTGATGGTGCTGCTTCAGTGTGAAAAAATAGGGACGAATCTGGCATGTTGGATGTTATTTTGGCTAGTTTATGAATCTACCTGAAAGAAAGCGTAGGACTGGACAAATAAGCTAATATACAGTACTACGAATCACCCTTTTAAAGCCTATGGAGGGAGCTTGGTCTAGAGTAGTTGCTATGAAGTTTACGGAGAAGATGGTATTGGTTTCCTGTGGGTTTATGCATTTCTGGTTGTCCTCCTTGATGTTTGTCTCACTACCAAGGGACAGCCTTTTGAAGTCAATACAAATTTGAATACAAATTACAGAATTTGCTTTCCACTTTTTAAATTACAGCTTTAAAATTATTCATCTATCTTGAAGTGGAAAATGGCTATGTGTTTAAACCTTTGACTATTCAGGGCTGGAGGCATATCTCATTCTTACCCCATCTGAAGTGAAGATTTCATTGGTGAGGTGGGGGCTCGTTACAGTTCCCACTTGCCCTTCTTGTACCACTATGCTGTTATGAAAATGCTGCGTCACGTCGTGCATTATTTCCCTCACAACAGATATCAAATTTTAGAGCAAACATAGTGAGGGATACATAATACCGTATCGCGTTTAAAGTATCCTTCCATTTTTCTTTTTAAAAATGATGTGGAAATGCATACTGTAAACTAGCCATTGGCAGTCTTTTTTTTCTCTCTCTGATATATTTCTGTGTATATCAGATTTAAATTGCTAGCACACACACTTTCCCAAGTGTTCGCATTCATTACAAGCTATGAAGATAATCTTAAAACCTGTGGGTATCAGAAATGCTTCAGTAGTTTTGATCTGTGGTCTTGTGCTCTTCAGACTCTGGCTTTATATTGCTGCTAAATGATGTCTAACCCTGTATATGCAGGTCTATACTTTACAGTGCATTGTAATCTTAGCAAAAAGATACAGTGATATCAAAAGTACCTCTTAAATTCTTTGGTCACACTGATCTCTAGTGGTAAGGTATTGAAAACATCTTAAAAGGTACAAAAATATCATATGCAGTTACAATTTTATTAAGAATCTGTCACAGACAGATGACTTATTTCTCTAAAACACAAGGTGAGTCTACTTTTATTTCCACAATGTATGCTAATTGTCTACTGAGGATGAATATGCACATTTAATACTATATACAATATAATGTTGTATTTTATAATTAAAATATAATTAAAACATGTAGGACAAGATATTATATTTAATAGCTTGATACTGATAAACCACTGTACTTATATACATAAGTATATACATATGCCTAGATACATATTTTTATCTATAAGTGTATGTATGTGTATTTGACAGTCATTTAGTGTTACCTGGTGTGCAGACACTTCTGATTTAATTGCATTTTCATTCTAGAGAACACTGTTTGAACAACCTTGTGGTTCATCTGCAATGTAACATTAAACGTAAGTACATATACTCTGGGAATATTTCACACGGATATCAAATTGTTCAGTCCATAAAGCCTAATGTTTATAGTTTGAATTGAAAGGTTAGAGAATGGACTATAAAAGCTATACTCGTAATGACATAAACACAGGAAAATTTACAGTCTTCACTTGTTTTCAGAGTTAAGTATACACTAGAGATGGGTCTATACTGAAAATACATATATAAAAACTCCAGAAGGTGTGAAGAAAGAACACATCTAAATCCAAGTTATAAAGCTGATCTTGATTTCAGTTATAAAACACCACACTTTTTGTGCAGTAATAGTATTTTTGAATAGCAGTTCAGATACTACAAAGACTATTTTTCCAAGAATGCTAGCTAGTCTAATAAAACATGCTATAAACCCCTAAAAATCTACATTTTTTTTTTTAATTTTAGCTTGTGGAAAACACCTGGTAACTCAGAACAATGGAACAAGGATTGTAGGTGGAAGTGATGCCAGAAGAGAGGCTTGGCCTTGGATGGTCTCACTCCATTTTAATTCCGGACCTTCTTGCGGAGCTTCCCTTGTCAGTGATGAATGGCTGGTGACAGCAGCCCACTGTGCATATGGGTAATGTTCACTGCACTCAGAAGCTAACACCCCCATAACATGCAAGTAGCCAAACGGTGGATAGGCGTCAGTAAAGCTGGGCTGAATTATGACCTGAGCCATTGATCAGTCCTGGATGAAGCAAAACACACTTTCAAAGGATCATACTAGAATCACTGGGGAGCGGCACTCTTTAGAGGGTTTCTAGATGTTTACTTTAGAATGAATTCAATATAAATTCACAAGTGCCTCTTTCTCTCCACTGACTCCAGGGCATCTTTCCAACTAGCTGAGATGTCCATATGACCATCCACACCATGTCTTTCCGTTTTTATTTTAATGCTGACGAAACACTTCTTTTATGTGCAGGTTCACTAAGGAGGCATCAGATTATAAATAATTTGTGACACTGATATAAAAAATTAACAACTAGCTCACTGTTTAATTACTGTGTTTTGAATCACTTGTGGGCTCAGCTAAAAGCTCCTTACCTTTCTGGTAAGCCCCCAGACCTTACTTTAAAGCAGAGAATCATGGAAACTACTCAGCATTTCCTGAACAATGAAGAATTGCACTTTAAATATATGGTACTAATACTGAGCATTTGCACTTAACCCATAATTAATGGGGGCCTCCATTAATTAGTTGAATCTCTGCCACTGGTACAAAGGATGACATCATACCTCATAAAGGTAAACTTGGTGTTGCCTGTTCCTCCTGTATATTATCATAAATTGATCAAGATTTACTGTGCATCATTGGAATGAGTTTTGATTTATATGCATTGATTAGGCAATATTGGATATCCTTTTAAATATTTTCCAGGGTTTGCTTCCATAACATCTATAAAAATAAGTGCTGTAGAAGACACCTAGAAACTGGAATGGCAAAAAAAGAAATATTAATATCCAAAATTATAGTCGAGCTTTCATTATAAATAGCTAAGTAGTAAGGCAGTGAAAACCATGCCAATACATTAACCCTGCCTCATTGCATGACAGGAGGTATATTCCACACAAAGACACTGAAATGAGAAGGATCAAGCCCTCTTAGTTTTCACACAATAAATCCACATCTGTCTTGGTACTTCCTTTTCACTTAAATCATCTGTTTTCACTGAAATCTCACTTTATAATCTTCACTTGGCTGGAATTTTCCTACATGGGAACTTGCAGTTTCACACCTTAATTCTGATATCTAAATTAAAAACTAGTTTAGAACAAGATAATCTCTTGATGTCAAACCAAAAGATCAGCAGAAAACAATTCAGTACAACAACTAGGCTGAAAACATATTTTTGAAACTATGCTGGTTGATTAAAAAATAGCAAATAATTAAGTTCTGTAACTTAAATACAGCCTTGAGCCAGCATGCATAGCTCAGCAAAAACTGCAGATTGTGTCATATTTTGTCTTAGCATATCTTTGTCAATTTAGATTAAAAATTAAGAGATCAGTTTTCTGAGTCTATGAGTTGCAGCATTTGCAACGAAATTTTAGACCTATTATTCTTCAGATACTCCGTAATAATTTTCTAACTGGGACTGATATTAATTGCCTGGTGGGCAGTCAGCTGTATCCCTCACAGTGTTTAAAAAGCCATAGTAATTTACTTAATGTATTTTCCTTTGCACTACTGTCTGATTAATTCTTTATAAATAATGTATTATAAACTTAATATAAAAAATCAACCACATATTTCTACAGTATGGATGTTTAAGATAGTATTACATAAAATAGTAAGCACATCTGATACATTCTATGTATTTTGTAAAAAAGTGCAAATGCTATGAATTACCATGGGGTTAAAGATTACCATTTTACCTAACATATTTTCCAAAACTTTCATTAAACATGCATAATTGCGAATATTCCTTGCAACTTCTAGGAGACAATTAAAACCATCTCAATGGAAAGCAGTTCTTGGCTTGTATGTCCAATCAGATACGACACAGTCTTCAACAGTAGTTCGAAACATCGATCATATAGTTATAAATCCTCATTACATGAAGCGTACAAAAGATAGTGACATTGCTCTCATGCACCTTCAACAGAAAGTGCAATATACAGGTGAGTTGTTATTTTCCCATAAACAAGATTTACTCTTTTATGGAAAACTCTGCTAAATATATGAGGGTGATGGGGTGGCTGTACATTTTTTACAACATAATCATTCTGGAGACAGTACAGTACTTCCTGTATGTTGTGCCCAAAAAGTGGGTTTGAGTTGCTGAACATTTTCTTATGTGACTTCGTAAAAACCTGAACACAGGGAAGAGGTTGCAACCGATTGCTTCTTTCTCATTTGCAGATTACATACAACCTATCTGTTTACCAGAAGAAAATCAACAGTTTTTGCCAGGAATTAACTGCTCCATTGCTGGCTGGGGTAGTATTACTAACGAAGGTAGGTCATCTGCTTGGAAAATTATGACAGACATGAAGCTGAGAGGGAAAGCTTGCTCCTGATTCTAGAAGGGTTGCTAAGGCCCAACAGTTTAAAGAAGCTCTCATCCATAAGAAAATTTGGGAACTATCTCCCTCCATGTTCTTTCTCTAAAGCAAAGGAATAGAGTTATAACATTAACATTAGAAAAAAATTTATGTATCTAAGATCATTAAATTATGAAAAAACCTTATTGCATCCCCTTAGAAGTTATGATGACTACTCTTCTCAGTATGAAATACGTACACCTTATTTCCAAATATTGGGTGGGGGAGGAGAATATTAGTCTTTCTGACAATGTGCAAATGATTTTGCCCAGAAGTCAAGAAGACTGACTGTTGTGTGAAATCTATGTTCTCTTGGTACATCACATGCTCCAGGTTTGGAGTGTCTGTGAAATAATAAACATGCCATTTCACTTCCACAGTTGCTTGCACACATTTGCTTCTACATTTTCAGAATAAAATTGCATTTGAAATTTTGGGTAGCAGTTAGTAACAGAAATTTTTATAAAAACTTTAAATACTCGATCAAAGTTATACAATGAATAGTGAGGAAACATTGGACAATCCAAGCTCCAAAGCCCTTAATTATCCCTTAGATCTCCCCCCCAGTGAGTTCATAGTCATTGATTTTAGTAATCTTGATTTAATTATAACCAAATTCAGTCCCATTACACAAATGAAAGACAGAAATCGGTTAATGAGCACCATTTAACCAATGACTCTGTTACAGGGGTATAAGCCTCAATAATACGGTGGTGAGGCAGGGCTTCCTGCTCCTCGGTAGCATGCCCAGTATGCTGGAACAGGAACAAAACCAATGGTGTTCAAAGTGGGATGTACATATTTATTACAGTGGGTAAATGTACTTTGTATTTTCATCAGGTGTCACTTCAGATATATTGCAAGAAGCAGAGGTCCCTCTCATTTCAAATGAAAAATGCCAACAACAGATGCCAGAATACAATATTACTGAAAATATGATCTGTGCGGGATATGACATAGGAGGAGTAGATTCCTGTCAGGTAAATACAAGAAACTCATTTCCACTGCCAGCACACACCACATCTAATTACTGAATAAAATGCTCCCTAATCCTCCCATCATTAAAACCAGGAGGATACAAGTTGAAAAGATAAAAAACTTCTTTGTGTCATCTTGACATAAACAATCATGGACAGTGATAAATATGAGGACTGGAAATTTTCTGCACTAAGCTTTGAATAATTACTGCTAAGTACTTCCATGAAGGAAAAAGGGACATGCTTAGGGAAAAGCAGAGTACAGAGAAATAAATACCAAATAGATTGAAGTCTCAGAAATGCTTCACACAGGGCAAGAGAGAGCGCAATGATGCTTTTCCCCAGGATCTGTGGACACTGGAGACCTTTTGTAAGTGGATGCCACTGTATTTTGGAGAGGCTGCCTTTCTTCATTGATCTCATATGCTCCTTCCTGAGGATCTAGTTTTTATTCATTCCAGCTCTGCTTATAACACACTGTTTCTCTTTGAGGATGTAGTCAGAGTTGGCTGTCATATAATTTTTCTTCCAACAATATGGAGTCTATGGCATGGAGACTGGCTGGTTCTCCTCAAGTCTGATAAGAAGCACTATCACATAATTGCTTTTGCCCTGCCCTCACAACCTAAGCCTTCCTTAGATGGAGTGACTTTGGCTACTTTAGTCTTGAAGGAGGAGTGTATGCAAGCCTAATTTCACGTGCCACTCCTTCGCCCTCTGTGGCTTTCCTCTTTCCATTTTGCCTTCTGAACCTCATACTGAAAAAAACCAATGTAGCATCATAGGCTGTGAGGTGAACGAAATTTTGTCTCCCACACTCTATTGCAATGCTACATCTACTAAACTATTGAGAAGAAGGTGTTAGAAAAGCACATCTCCTCTTCTGGCAATCTTGCCATCTTTTTATCTAAATTTGAAATTGCAGAAACTCTAGAGTGACTGAAAATAGAATTTCATTTTGGCTGCATAGATTCAATTAAAAAATAATCCTATACATTTACCCAGGCTTTGTGAAAGATGAATGGCTAAATATGAAATTAACCAGCAAAATAAACATTTGAAACCCAGCCCTGTATTGAAAGACTGATAAGTGCTTAAGATCAAATCCTTAAAAAAAAAAAAGAAACAAAGGAAAGGGTTTATCTCAAGAACTTTTCCACATGGAATAATTCATATTGTTCTCACTTCTGGTGCTCAAGACATATAGGGGTACAATGTCTACAATTAAGGATCAAAACAAACAAACCATTCTAAACAGGCTCTGCTTCAGAGTCGACATTGTTCACTCTTAACTTTTGAATTTCGTATTACAGGGAGATTCAGGTGGCCCTCTGACATCTGAAGATGGTGACAAGTGTTTTTTGGTTGGTGTAACGTCATTTGGCTATGAGTGTGCACTTCCCAAACGACCTGGAGTGTATGTTCGAGTCACCATGTTTGTGGATTGGATAAAAAAAGTCATCTATTAGCTTGATTTTTTTTAATGATAGAAATAGAATTTAGAGGTTAAAAGTAAGCCACTGTATAATGATGTAAACCAGACTGGCATTCCAATCTCACAGTTAGAAAAACTGAATAAATATTTAATTTTGGGGGAGGAAAGTATTAATAATTGAAAACTCCATTATTAATTGAAAGCAATATTTCAAAACAGATGCTGTGGTTTTGTTAATAAATAGTTTGGTCATTTTACCTTTTCTTTTATATGAGACCATGGGGAAACAGTTTCTTTGAACACCAGTGCATTAAATGCATAGTGGAGAGCTTCACAAAGCATGGGCAGTGAAAAAAAAAAACAAACAACTTGCAAACTGCAAATGCTTTATTGGAAAATGGTCTAAATTATTAATTTCAGGCCAAACTGTTTTTATGTTTTAACAATGTATTTTTCAATGTGTATTTTTATTTTAATGCATAGTCAACTCTTCTCAGTAATCTCACCACATATCAAAATGAAGGTATATGTTACCTGTTTAAACTGGGTTCGTGGGAGTTCTGTCTTGCCTATTACAAAAAGCTCTGGAATGAGGTTTATGGATTATGCATAAAGGCTGATCATCTATCATGCTGCTTTCTAATGATTAAACTGAATGTAAGCCAAAAGTTCTCTCTTGTGTAATTCATTTGGAATTAATAACGTTAAATAAGGATTGAATATAGCTTTTTAGTTTTATTTTTAAGCGTTTTGGCAATTATTCAAGTAACTATAGATATGTCCTTTTGTACACCTAAGCACAGACTCACAATACTGCAACTTCCTCTCATAAAAAGTAACGTTTTTTAGAAACATCTAACAAGAATCAGTATCAGCTATCCCTGGTGAATAAAAATTAATAGGGTTTCCTTTGATATATTACATGCTTTTTCTGTACTTGTGACTTTTAATACTGATTTTGTGCTTTGTATAAAAACTATTACAATAGCCCATTACAGCATTCTAAAGGGGAAAGAATACGAAGAAAAAAAAGGTTTTTATCTTCTTGAGCTCTTTTCTAAATAGGTTTATATTAAAATATAATTATCTACTTGTTGAAATGCCTTAAATTCAATGGTGTTTTAATGTTAGTGTAATATGATGCATTTCCTTTATTTCTGTTTTCAGCCTGGTGTAGGAATTTAATATATTTTTAATTCCAAAGTACTGCATGAAAATACAAAATGCATTCCAACTTACCGTGTATGTGTATCTGCACATATCTACATAGATGTATGATTTTTGTAAGGAGCTTCCATCCTTGCTGCTTACAACGGTAAATGCAGATATGAAGTGCTCAAAATACAAGGCTAGCTTACAAACATAGGTTGGCAGTCACCGATAAAAAATACCAGGTCCCAAACTGTTTTCAGATCTTCATAAGCATTAGAGGACTAGGTCCAGACCAAAGTATTTAGCTTTATCAATACGTCTATGACCACAGGAACACAGACAGTTGTAATTAAGCCAGAAGGAAAATAAAAGGTGTTTTAGACACCTTTCTTTTCATATAAACCACACAGCTTTTAACATTAAAATGTTAAATTTGCATATCCTATCTTTTGTAATGGACTACTATTTCTCCTGTTACTCTCCTCCACTTGAAAACAGCCACTGAAAATACAGTGCATTCTGCTATCAGTTTAAATTGATTCAAATGAAGCAATTATGTTAAAATGCTTAATTAAAATGTGACTGGATTTCTGCATTATATACCATACATCACTATTGTAAATTGTGTTTCAATCTGTTAATGAAATAAAAGACCTAACTCAAAGCAGATCCAGTTACTAGCAAAGGTGCTTCCCAGAAATATCATAATATACTTGTATTTATATGCACTTTTTGCTTCCCAGAATGCAAAGTATAGACATATTTTGAGATATACATTAATAAACCATCCCCTTAGACAAAAAAATTCCTATTATAAACTCTGGTATAGAAACTCATATGTAATATAGACTAGGATAATTAAAAATAAACATTTAATTTCAACTAACTTAGGTCTAGTTATGCTGAAAGTAACGTAACCTTAGTCAACCACATTCTAGCCTTCATTCAGCATCCATTACTTCATTTGCCTATGTATTAATCTGTGGAGAAACAAGTCGTGACTGTGTCAAAACATTATTTTCAATTCAGTCACAGGTCCAAGAGGCTTTGAAATAAGAGGTGGAAGCTTGATGCTGACTTACACTTGCTTGCACCCAAAAAAATTTAAAAGATTAAAGAAGTAAACATGAAATTTCTCTCTCAAATGCTTCTTGCTTGCAAAAGGCCATGCTCACTATTGAAAAAAAAAAAAAAAAAGAAAATTCAGCTCCCTGGGGAAAATACGGGCAATGGAGTATAAAGTTTTCAAAATGCCAGACTGAAGCCATGTCATCCATCCAAGGACTAGCTAAGGTTTACTGTTCATCCTTCAGTTCCTTGCCTCACCTACTGCTGCCATTTGTAAGAGATTCATAGAAGCAGTGAGCAGAACGGAATGTGATGACAGCAAGGGAACGCCATAGCTGTGCATAAAAGCCAACAATCTCAAAGTGACTCTAGTTGACGAAATCTGTCACCTGAAACTGGAAATCATTTTCTTTTCCCCATTCTGCAGAGTTTAATGTGAATAAGTAGGACAGAGAGGGTTGGGGGGTTTTGCTGGGGTTTTGTTTGTTTGTTTGTCTTTTTAAATAGCAATTTTGTTGCCACTAATGGGCCATGTCACATAAATACCTGTTGCTGTTTTTCTGGAAGCCGCCACAAAATCCAAACGAAATACCAGTATGAAGTCCGGTTTCTATGTATTCTCTCTGCAAGTGTGAAACACGCCTATCTTTCCCCCTTTCCTCTTTTACCCTTACTCCTATTTTCCCTTAGTGTGTGGAAATGAGGGAAATAAAGATGCAAGAATTTGTGTATGTGTGGGATTTGTATGTTTTGCATGGAATAGAATCACCTACTTAAGAGTGGAAGTCATGAGACTACAAATTTGAACTGTACACCATTTCCAGTCCTCCACATAGGATTCTTAAGATTGTTCCAATTTTACTTGGTATCTATGAACAATACCCTAAGCAAAGGAAATACACGGAAGGAAACTATTTCCTTCCCCTAAACAGGTGATGCGATATGGAAATATTTTGCCCCAGTAACCAATATTTCTTATTTACATATAGAATCTGAGTTCATTACAATAAAAGCATTTCATGTCACTTTCCATTCTTCCTTCATACAGAGTTTAAGACTGGGCCATGCTGATAACTGCCCAGCAATTGCCTTCACCCTGTAAGAAAGACATCTGAGGGTATTTGCATCCTAATTGCTGCATGGAAATTACTTCTGTCACTTCTGTTGCATTAATCAGAAAATTGCTTGCTAAACAGTTCCACGTCTTTTGTAAGCACAAATTATCAAGAAATAGTTTTATGCAAGACTTGACAGTCCCTCCTTCCCTATTTTCTTTGTGGAGTTAATCCTTCAGGACCATAAAAAAAGTGGTTTTTTACTGCAACAGTTCCCAAGAAAGAGGAAACTTTTGACCTCAGTTGAGACAAGCAATACTTAAGTCAGGAGAAAAACAATTCTGGTCCTGGTGATCATGCAGGATCATAGTGATTTTTCCTTTTTAGTTTACAATCACTACGATGGAAAATGAAGTAAGGGACTGAGCAAGGTAAGTTGTAACTACCTGAGAAAACTACAGAATATTGTAAGCAGGAACAGCCATACTTAGCCTGAACTACAGAATAAGGCTTCGTCAAAGAGGAAGTAAAAACATGGCATAACAGCCTCTTTAAGATGCTTTCAAAAATGCTTCAGTAATAGCATTGCATAATTAGTATTAGTGGTATTGAACTCTAAATGGTGGTGTTTTTCCTTCACTCAGGAAAACTGATACATATTTGTCTCTGAAGTTCAAAGCCGTGGTCAACATCAGCTACCACAGTGTAGGCGACCCACACAGTAATCTGTTTTTGCTTCTGTCCAGCTCTCCCCAACTTTCACCCAGCAGTAGTGTTGCATCTGTGTTAATGGAAAGCCAACTAGCTTGAATTCGTGCTCTTGAACTCTTGCTGCAACTGCAGCAAAACTCCTTAGCTATCCACTGTAGCACCAGACTCTCACCAACAAATCAGCCAGAGTGCTAGTGCTACCACCACAAGATCTACTCCTAATGACAGGTAAAACCATTCTTATGGCACAGAAAGCTCTTAAGGAACCAAAGAGAATGGACATTAATGATGTTAATAATAACTCTAAAAGAAGACTTTAAATGCATGAAGGTTACCTCTAAATCTGTCTATTAATTAACATAATTTATGCTTTTCTAGCTAACAGTCTGAATAATGTTGGAATCCATCTAGTGGTTCCACTTCAAAGAAAAGCTATTTGTCTTCTCTGTGATCCAACATTACATTATTCTTAACAATTTATTAGCTATATTTAAATTATCTTTAACATCTTTTTTACATAGATTTACTGAAACAAGTAATTTTAAACTCTTGCCCATTGTGGTATTATTTTTTTCCTCAGAAAAGTAAAAAAGTATTTTACTTAAATAATGTCTAACAGCTGCCTTCAAAGGACACCTCATTAATGATGTATCCCTTGCCAAGTGATTTATGTTGACCTTGGACCAATATGTTAAAAAGTTTGGTCATTCCCTGGCAAAGTGGATTCATTATGTGACATCAAATGACTTTTCTGAATCGTTGAATTTTTCCACATCAAATCGATGTCACAATGTGGTGGCTAACTCTGCTAGTGACCACGTTAACATGTAATAAAATAGTTTGTGTGCCTGAGGATCAAAAACTGTGTTCAGTGTGCAAATAAATACTAAACAAATATTTTGTATCAAACATTTATGCAAAGATAAATAATTGTTACACTGTAAAATTGTCAGTTCCATTTACAGTACATCAACTACATTACAATGCATGAAAGGCTAAACGAAACAGAGGGTTTGTTTAACTACAAACAATCTTAAAACTGATATACTTTGTAGATATTTCCCCATAAAAACTTCAAATGATCCGTTCATTTCATTGCTCACAACTAGCTAACTAACATTTCCTAGCAAAATAAACACATACCCTTTATTTAGCATGACATATTTAGTTACTGAATTAATAATCAAACATTATATAAAAATGATCTGAACATTTGCCTCAAGGGGGAGCTTACAGTTCATTCTTGTAGATCCTTTGCATTTTCAAGCCATTCCAAGCTAATGTTCTTTGACAACATTATAATACAGCCTGACTGCAAAATGTTATTTTTGCTTTGTCTTCAATCAGTAAATCATTATACCTCCATGCTACTGTCCTTCCTAGGCGTCTTGGAAATCCATAGTGTGGACTGGGTTGGACTGGTTTTCGTTCTTCCTTTACTGAAAAATAAAAATATAAACCGTTTTCAGTGTATGTGTACCTTTACAGTCCTGATTCAGGTTTGTGATCAGACCTGGGTATTTCATTCCCTGTTTGAAGGCCACCTTTGTTGCTTTCGTAGCATAGGATCCCCATCCACAAAAGGGTTGTGCCCATGCTGCGCCAAGCATAGCACCGCAGAGGTGGGTCGAGGTAAGCAACTGTTACCAAAGTTACCAGAGCACCCTGCTTAGCCGTGCTCCTCCCAGGAAGTGAACTGACTTGGCCCATATTTACTTCTTTTTCCAGTTCACATTCAGCCACACCTACTCATACAGAACTGTCTTTCCACAGATGAGCGTGGACGCTGTTTGACCAGGGTGGTGGGAGGCTGGGCACTTCCCTTGTCTGGGGGGATGTAGGGGGGACGGGAATGCACAGGCCCCCGAGCCCTCACCCAACATACTTAGGGCACAGCCCGCCCACCCTGGGGGGGTACCGCAAACCTGCCCACGTGCATCCCAGAGCTGCACCCCCACGACCGTGGCACACGAACAGGTGCCAGTGTGTACCGGTACGACAGAAAGCCTCTTCCCTTCAGGGCTTGACCTAACTTCTAATGAAGTAATGGCACATGAATCGGACTCCTAGCAATGAATGACTGGTAGAAAGCTTCCTTAGGCCTAGTTTTCATTCAAAACTGTCAATAATAGCTTTTGTGTTTGGGTTTTTTTTAATAAAAAAGATAAAACTGGTTCCAAAAGTACTTGGTGTGCAACACTGCAAAAATGTTCACTTTAGTCTTTACAGGGAGCCCTGAGGTACCCTGTAAATTGATGCCCGTCTTTCCACATGTCTAGCATCCCTGCTACAACTGCCACAGCACAGCACCTTCCCTCACTTAGATGGCAGATGACAGTGCACTGCAGTCTACTGAAAAGGCACTTCATGAACCACTGCAGCTGCATTTCAATCAAAATGTTTTAGTCTCTGGCCAGAATATTTCACACTGATGTTTTTTTCCAGTTAAGTAAAAACCAGAGGAAGAGAAGCAGCCCTACATAGTTCTGTAAGTTGGAAGCCTGAGAGTGAAGATCCCAACAGTCTTATAGATTCAATTTTATTCCTTTCCTGGTGTGTAAATGTAAGTGAGTCTGAGTTGATTTAAAATGTACTTTGAGGGAGCTGGATGGTACAGTAGCTTTCAGTCCCTCCAGACTTACCTCTGAAGTCCTACAAAGTCAGGCATTATGTACCTGAGCCCATCGGAGTAATTGAAAAGACTCCCATTGGTTTCAGTGGACTTTAGATCAGGCCACAATGCTATACACAAAGCAATTGCAATGAATCAAGTAGTTTCAGCACTTCTTTCTTTAAGAAACTGATTCACTACTTCTTTCTAGATTAACACAGCAAAATCGGGCATATTTTGTAAATTAATGATGAAATGCTTTGAATGGAGAGTCCTTGCCACACAGCAGGAACAATTCCTAAATACCTTGGATCAGAACCTTAGCTGTGTAAAATAAGCTTATCTTCAGCGAACCAACGCTAATTTTCAACAGCAATACATCTGCTTCAGGAAATAGGTTTTAGTAAGAAAAGCAAGGAAGATGCAATAAATAGCTAGAGCATATCGCTGTTTTGACCATCAAATGCAATCATAGAAACTGAGAAATATACCAGGTTGGAATTTAAACTTTCTGCAAGGCATTCAGATGATAATGGAGATGGATCTTTGAAGCAGTTTCTCCTTGCTTCCCTGGAAGACATGAAAGGGAGAGCATCTAAGCATGAATGAGTTGATCATTTCTACTAGCTACAGGGAAGACATTTTGCTTCGCCTTATTACTACCCTTTAAGAGCCCAATGCCAGGCAAAATTAGTCATGACCTTTCAAGCTAGGCATGTCCTGGTTGGCCATGGATTGTGGCTTTCAGAGGAAAGGTCACCATGTTGTGGAAGCCTAAAAAAGAATGAGAAGTCAGGTTCATTCGGAAAGTTTGGGATCTCTCCTTCCCCAGCAGGACAGAATCCCTTTCCTAAAGCTCTACAGTGTCCAGATGATGAGTTCAAGTGGTTGCTTCTTTTCTTTATTTGCTTTTTACCCAAGAACTGTGTATTTGTGATGAACTGAAATGATATGCAAGGTAGGTCATATGTGGAAACATAACTGAAAATAGATGGGGAAACATTTTTTAAAAACAACATTCTTTTTCAACAGATAAAAAAGCAAATACTTGATTTTAGGTGACACCAGAATATCCTCTTTTGACTTAAATGAATTTTAAAGAAAATTTATATTCTTTAATTAAAAGTTTTGGTGCAACCCAAAATGAACATTGTGAAAAAAGCATCTGTTTTGATTCAAATTCATCTTCTCCCTGATTTTTGTATCACTTAATCTACCAAATTAATCATCTAACAAAAAAATTACAAAATTCCAAGCTGAATTTCCAATATCTGTGTCATGCAATTTTTAAGTCTTGGAAGTTCAGATGAGTTACTTCTGGATGAACAGCTATAGCATCAAAGGCCTGATCAAAGCTCACTGAAGTCAACACTACTATTTCTATTGATTTCAGCGGGCCATGAATCTCTCAGTGTTTTCCCAGGAGTGTTCAAGAGGTGAACCTTTCCTGGGGAGAGAAAGAGTTGCCAGAACAGCTATGAACATGTACGTCATACTTACCAAGAAATACAGGTCCATTGTAATAAGGGTTCCAGAGTTAGATTACGTATATAATTGCTATTGTTATACATATGATTCCTTTATTACTCTCTTTCCTTTGAGTTTCCAACCTTCCACAGCCCCAGTACTAAGGTTTCGATACAACCTTTCACAACACTGAAATTGCTTGCCGTAAGACAGATTAGAAAGTGCACATTTTCCTTTTCTTTACAGGAAAGTGCATAACAAAGACACAATGTACTTCATGATGCAGACCTCATAATCTTATTTTCTTTGTGTTCACTTGTTTCAAAGAGATCCATCGCTAAGGCATGCTGCAAACATCAGTGTACACTCACTCATACAGATATAAGCAAACTGGCCATTTGGAGTGTTTTCTTACTTGAAACAATGTATTTCTGCTATTTGCAGCAAATGTTAAAAAAAAAAACCACAAAGAAAAAATAAAGACTAAAAGTAAGGAGGATTTTTTTCTTCTCATTTCCTAAAACTGTGATGTCATATTCTTTACTAGTATTCCTGCTCTTCAAGAAGGATAATAGCTTGTGAATCTGTTTACTACTCTTGTTATTTCACCAATATAGTGTTTCTTCACAAAACGTATTTCAGTTTAAACTTTTACATTAAGTCGAGAACACTTCCTGAAAAAAAACCTGCAGAATGAAAAGTATCTTTGAATGTTTCAGAAAGACTAGTTCAGATTGAAAAAAAATATTATATGTTGTCACATTTTGGTATATCATATTTTGAGAATGATAAAAAGTCCAAAGAATTTTAAAGCACAGATCAAAACATATCCTGTTTCACAGGCTGAAATTTTTCCTATTTGCATAATCATACATCTGTTTGATACTACCTCTATGTACACATATCTATTTACTTCATGCGTCTTCTTTGCCAGATACATGATGTACAAAGGACTTGCACTGGGGTGTGGCTCAAACTATGGGTTTGCTATTTGTTTTCAATTTGTCTGCTCCAGTGCCCCATCTGTTGCTCCTATGATATGCACACTAAAACAGCATTAAACAGCTGCTGGCCCCTTAGGTTTATCCTTGGAACAAACTGCACTTTTGGTCAGAAAGTGAGGTGAGTTGTTGAGTTCACCCTGTATCAGTGAGGACCCCACTATTATTTCCCATAGTCCAGGTGCTGTGTAGGTGGTAATCATGATGGAAGAGGTGAAGTAAAAGTGCTGACAGTAGCTCAGCCTATCAAATGGTCAGCAAAGATATTTTCTTCAGAAACAGGTGAAGTCCCAATGGCGATGTACTTTGAGAGACCTGGAACTCTTCCAGCATGTTGTGGAAAAGCCTAAAGGTGAACGTTCAGCTGTAACAGCTGTAAACTGCTTGGATTTTAATGGATGAAAAGATGCTTATTTGCATATTTGGAGACAGATGTAAGCAGCCTTTCAGTACGAATAGTTTGTCAATGGAAATATGAATTCTGCATCATAAGACCATTATGGATTAGTATATTTTACCTTTTATGAAGCATCTGGAAACAGCAAGTCCCAAAAGCCACCAGTATCAATAGCAGTAGGGGTATAGTGGGTATTATGACATAAATTAGATTTGGAATTATACCTATAAGAAAAAAGTTGTCATTAATGTCTCTCATGCTGAAATACTCTTAACCATGTGAGTAAAAATATGGAGTAAAATATCAGAATTACATTAACTTACACGAACATTTATAAATTCCTTCTACAGGAAGAGCTCCAAAAAGATAACTCAGCAATATCTGAGAATAAAACAGTACTTCTCCTGCAATGTGCAAAACATATCTCAAGGGCTTAAATTCTGACATTTTCTGCATGCATCAATACAAGATTTCCAACTTTGTAATTGAAAATTCAAGTATTTTAACAGAGTACATTTCATGGCCTATTATTTCTACAGTCCATATAACTTGTCTACTCTGCTGCCCTTGTATGTTGGATTCCCACTCATGCAGGACCACAAGAGGAAAAAAACATGCTCTTGTCTTCCTATTGCCCTTAAAAGACAAATGTATACTCTCCTTGACTAATGACAAGAGAGCTAAAGGTGCTTCCCTGCAGGTCCCTGGACAAAAGGAGTGGGAAATCGTACAAGCTGGACTCTGTTATCTGCCTACAGTAGAGGATGGGGCCTACGACTTCCAGAAAGAGACTGACTTTTTCAGTACCTATACACCCATGTTTTATAACAGTACACATATAACGTACAAATTGTGGAGTCTTACCCATTGCCCTCTTTTGAACATATTTTCACTAGCAAGAATAAATGTGAATGTTCAGGTTGGGTTTGTTTACGAGTTTTAGATAGAGAGTCCTTTCATGGTTTGCATAAATAGCATTATTAGTTTCAAAATACAATTTATGAGTATATCCTTTCCTCTGGAGTCACAAACATTGGGAACATCAGTTAGAAAACTGGCTCAAATCCAGCCAACCAGTGTGGAAATGGAGCATAACCTCATGGTGTAATCCTGTAAAATCCTGAGTTGCTCCTTAGAGATGTTCAGTTCCTTGAATTAAGGACATGCTACAATATTTCACGAACCTCAGGACTCTGTCCAGGAGCTAGTCTGCTAAATCTAGAAGAGGTCAGGAGGAGATGGAGAGAGGTAAGTCCCTGGTTAACACAGCCTAGAAGGAGACACTCCACATTTGGGTGAACACTGGTGAAATCTTGCATCTTGACAGACTCACCAGGGTCAGAAACAACAGTGCAGATTTCCAGGACTGCTAAACTGTAGATTTGGATCAAAGTTTGGGGAGACACGGAAATAATTTCCACAGTTACAAAGAGGACTGACTAAAACTCTTGAAATGTTATTCAAAAGTATACTGTCTCAGTGCACTTCCTGGAGAAACAGACTGCTTCCTCCCACTCATTATAATGGAAATTGTTAAAGAACAATTTAACTGAGTTCACTGCTAATATTTTTACCAGAACACTGAATTCATATGAACACATTACCTGTTTCAGTAGCAGTAACATGATACTGATCTTCTGGTTTGCCTGTGTCATAAGGATTTCCTGCTGGCACCGTTGGAAAAATATCCGACATTTTAGGAAAACAGTGAGTACAAAATATGGCTATTATGTTGTTAAATAAATTAATAGTGATTACATCTGAATTTATACTGGAAAAAAGAACATGTTCAGGATTAAAATGCTGGATATAAACACGTAAACAAGATTTTATTGCAAAATTTGGATTACATCTGGAACAAGAATTACAAGCAGTGCTATTCTTAACAATAGCCATATATTTGTAGCGATTGCTCTCTATAGGATTCATTTTTCATATGTTCCAGTTCTAAACTATTCCTGTTAAACTTGAGTAATTTTGGAGGTTCTTGTAAGATGTCCTTGTATTTACATATTTACTATTGCAATTCATTTTAATGTTTCAAAATTTCTTACCGTAATCTGGCTCCACTCTGTCTCCTAATTCTTTTTCTAAGACATTATCTGTTAAATCAATATTTGAAATTAATCATTGAAGAATGAAAAATGTGTGTAATAAAACAGATGTTTTCATTACTTTCCATGCAGTATCACAGAAATAGATATATGCTCCAAAACAAGAATTGCTTAATTCTTCAGCATTTAATCTTCTTACCAAAGACTATTTGCAAACCAGTGTCAAATCAGTTCTAATTCATACTTTTTTGCTCCTTAGAAAAGGGCTATAGTTTATTCTAGTTCCAATTCTTAGTGGCTTCTGCTAGGTTACTGGGCTAAATCACTGAATCCTTTAATTACTTGGGCTGAATAAAACTCCTGACATATTCAAAGTTTCATTTGTGCAGACGATCCTAAAACAATATCAGAGAGGAAGTGTTCTTGATTAATACTTAAATCTTATTCACATTTTCAGACTAATGCTTACAGAATGCTGGCTATGAAGCAAAACAAAGCAGCACAAGTTTTTGAGGTTAGATGTCAGCTTCATGTGGCTTGGTTTTGCAACAGGCAGCCTGAAATACAAATCATGGGCAGTGGGTCCTATTACATCACATAAGGAAGTGAAATTACCAAAAGAGGAATGATAGTATCATATTTCTTGTAGTGCATCAGAAACTGGAGAACCAATTCACAGCTTTGACCTGTGTTGTAGTGGATTGCAAGCTTACTTATGGCTATTGTTACAAGAGTTTACAGACTACAGAAATAATTACCTCATACTGAAAGGACGGGCATAGGAGTGGAATCTGCATGATTGTTTGAACACCTTTCCTTTATCACAAGATTATATTAACATAATAGTGCTTTGAGCCTGCAGTTTCTAGTGTCCTGATAAACACAAAAAGCTGGGAGAAATCAAAGCAGCAATAAAGCCTGTTAGAACGGAAAACCAGTTATGTTTGGCCATATATAAAGAAAGATATCAAAATAGAACAAAGAACTAAGTTGCTGGCTCTAGACAGCAGAAGATGAGATGAGTTTTTAATTCAGTTGCATAATCCAACGTACAGGAGTGGGACAGGAAGTAAATGTGGTTGCAATTACCAACCTACCATTACATTTAAGATCACTGAATGATAAATATGATCTAAAGCCAGGCTGAACATTGCAACAGTAAATGCTGTCAAGGGACGTACCATAAAAAGAGCTTAGAAAAATGAAAGTGACTACCAGAAATGTAGTTGCTGCTTGAGTAAGACTGCCTAACAAGCGCTGCCCTTAAATTGCTGCTGATACTATCAAATGCAGCTTCATCACGTTCACCTCCAAGCTCTGCATTTTGGCTCACGACTGGTATCACACACCATATACTCAAAACAGACAGGAAAGTTTTGAAAAAGTATGTACTCAGATAACAAAGTAAAATCCAATATGCATGTGGCTCTTCAACTGTCCTGGTAAAATGGATATATTTTCTATTGCAAATGGCTGATGTTGAAGCTCTTACAGTAATTTGGTAGGGGGAAAGGTCATTTGTAAGTCTCACTAGGTTTTAGATAGCAAATGTAATTTTCTTACAAACACTGTTATATTTTCATCAGGCAGTGAAAGAAATGTCATATACCTATTTGTAAAAGTTTATGCATCTACTCTTCTCCATGTGACAAATAAATACATTTCTGGAGAATAGTCTGTTTTGCTAAAGAGCACAATTCCAACAGCTTGAAAAGTAAATAGCTACAATTCAGCAGTACTGTATTTAGCTGCATAACAATGTCAGTCCTAATAATAATCTACCCATACATTGTTTGCATCATTATATACCTCATTATACACCAGTAATCTATTTCGCCATAGTGAAAGAAATATAAATTCATTTTCATTGTTACTGTTATCACTTTGTTTTCTGCCAATCAAAAATACCCAGCATTATTTCAGACGGTGAAAGCAACAGAAAAAACTATTCTTTATCACATGTCAGCTAGAATGGCAAGTAGTTCATTATTAAAGAATAATTATTTTACTTAAATTTGTTTGTTTTTAAAGATATGAAATATACATGAAACTAAGCCCTTTTAATCAAACCTGCATCTTCGGACATAAAAATGTTATTTTAACAACTTAAAACATTTTTATTGTGTCCTCTTATTTCAAAATAATTATGATTAGTTATAAAAGTGATAAAAATGTATACGTCGCAGTTCCTTGAACAGCCTGTGTGACCAAGATGATAACCGATCACCCTAAGACAGTCACTAATAATGTTAGAAGCAGGAACAGTTTGGGGGGTGAGGGTAAAATACATGGATATATCAAGCCTTCCAAATATTTAATATTAGTTTGAAATATTAATTCCCATTAATGTCCCCATTAAGATATTAAATATTGAAAATATTTGCATGATCCTGCTGCAAAACATGTTTTCATTTACTCTAAGTACCACCAAGAGTAGAAAATGTTACAGGCTCAACTTCAAAGATTATTTTTCACCTCCTTTATCTGTTTACACAAAGTTCTAGTTTATGTTTCCTCTACTGACATATACAGAACCTATGTCATGTCTGCAAGTACAAACAAATTGCCTAAGATCTGGCTTGTTCTGTCACTATCTGACCTAATGTGCATCTGCTTTTCATATCTATAAATCCACATGCATGAATGAATGCAGAATTTTCTTCCCGCTGTTCTGGACTTCATTCTTTAAGCCAAAACCTTTTGAAACAGCCACCAGGTGTAAGTTGGTACAAAATGGTAGAGGTCTGCAACTACAAGGACTGTAATTTTTTTACAGTAGGACCAGGAGATGTCTTGGTCATCCCATATGATAGCGAGATATCCACTCGCTAAATGGCCACTTAAAACACTGTGGAGAATAAAATAGCTAGTGAATGAGTCAAACCAAGGTAAATCTGCAAATGCGTGATAGCGAAGCTAACCTTGAAAACATTCCTATCGGATACAGATAGTTTTATCTAAATTAACACTAGATTTGATATATTACATCCCCTGTTAATGTCAGCCCAGACACTCACACCCCAAAGTAATTGGTACCACAGCCCACAAGACATTTGCAGATTCCCTCACAAAACAAGAGGTGACTGTTTTTCTAAGAAAGTGTCCCACCTGTGAAATGTAACTCTAGTTTCACCTACCTGGGCCATACTTGCAGATAAAATTGTGCTTCATGTTGCATCTATCATCGTTCCATTGATAAAGGTATGGCCCTCCCAGACCAGGGTTTGCAGTTGGCTGATGATACATCACAACACAGGCTTCACTTCCACAGGAAGGCTCATCTGTATACCAATTTCTAGCGGTACACACAAGACAAACTTTCAGATTTTGAAGTTAAGGTTCATCAGGACGCCAAGGAAAGAAATTTACACCTAACCCTAATGGCCCCATCCCCTTCAAAGATATGCTGCATTTACCACAACTCCTCTGTGAAAGGAGTTTAGGGCCTGGGCTCCACATCTTTGGATCTTAAAAAAACCTCTGACCAGACAAAGCCCGTCTGCAGAAATAATATCCTACCACCCTGTTACCTGTTTTCCTTCCTATCTGACTCCTATCTGTCCCTTCATCCTGAGTCCTGTGAGCTGCTGCTACTCTGGCCTTTGGCTTAATCAGGCAATTAAAGGCTTTTCAAAAGACAGGGTAAAAACAGAACAAATTACACTAAGTAACATGCATTAATTTACTTGGTGGCTGGGTCTCTGATTCGAGGTGCCCAGAGTCTTGCAGAATTTGTCTGCCTGCTTTCAGACCACATCCTAAAGACTCTATGTGTGGCAGAAAAACCTCCAAAAGCCATACAGAGGCAAACTCACAAGATGGGAGCAAAGAAAACTGTAGGCTGAAACCACACTACATCATCCTTTTACAGCTTTAAATTCAAAATCCTGGTTGCCAGCTCCCCTTTATCTGGAGAAGTTAAGGAGGGATGCTACTAACTCCATGGGGCAGCAAGTCTTCAAGATTCTTTCTAGAAGACTAGCTAGGCATTTCAATCTCCATTTCTTTCCATGAAACCTTCTCAGTAAGCAGTTTTACACACTTACCTGAATGGTGAAATACTTCCATCAGCCCACTGGTAGAGGTCAGGGCAAGCACTTGAGGTGGTTAGTCCATCACCACTTCTCCACAACCCAATCCAGAAATCACCATCAGAAATCCCAGAGGCTGACTTAGTGAGGTTTTGCAACATGTTTTCTATTAGTTGCTGCTCAGCTTCACTTTCCAGGCTCAGTAAAGCCCCACCATCAATTTCACAAGCTTGGCGGGCCTCCTGGAAGCCCACACGTCTAGACAAGTCCTGGAAATAAGCTAACTTATAACATGAATGCTTGAGGTCCCCGTAGCACACCTTTTGACCTGAAAAATATAAATATGAGTGTTTAGAGTATATTAACAAATATCACAACTGAAAAAAAAAATTGCATAGCAGTAGGGTTTTTTTGTGCCCTGCTATGAAAGTCACAGTGAAACAGTGACACTTCTGAAAACCTCAGCTCTAATTTAAATTGCAAATATCACACAGTTCATGGGAATCCATGGCTTTCTTCCCAGGCCTGTGAAACTCTCCAAGACACGGAAAACTCACACTAACTTCTAGAAGAATGTTCACTAGTTTAATGACTGTACCACCAGGACCCTCTGTTAAAGCCAGGATCTATTTGGAGGGTATTCTCTTAACTATTTCATATTAATGGACCAACTCCACTTCTGTTTGGTAACTGAAGCTCTCTGATAAAAAAAAAAAAATGTTTAAAATTCTCAGTTTTAGTGGCAAGAAGCAGCTAGCATTGTCTTGATTCTGCTATCTAACCTTGAGAGGGTGTATTTACAAGGACCTCATAGCTACTTTTTGCTATAATGTGTCTAAATACAACCTGTAAGGGTGTGTGGAAGGATAGTGTCTACTCCTTTAAGGGTATCTGGTCAGTGACTTTTTCAGTGCAAAAAGTGATAACAAGAAAAGGAGGAAGCTATATATAAAATATAGAGCTACAAACCCAACAGGAAAACTTAATAGAGAAAAAGACAAGAAAGAAAACCTTGTCAGACACACTAATTGGTGGGCTATTGAGAAACCGCAGGCAAACAGGACTTTGCAACTTCATGCACACCTGGCGACCCAGGATGATGGGGGGGTTGGTGGGACTATGCAATCTGATAAGGGAGCATGCAGGGTTAGGCAATGGTGAGGAACAAAGGGGGCATGGACAGAAGGAGCATAAAAGGGGCCAGTCACATGTAAAATGGGGACTGTACGTGTGCCTTTCCCAGTGACCTTGTATCTCTACCAGTCAACAAGGAGGAGGAGACTTGGCTGCCTATGCTTACATTTCATGTGGGTCCTGCACATGTGTGCTGTTGAAGGCAGCACCTTGTCTGGGGAAATCTGTGTGATGGCCATGTCATTGTCCTGTCTTTGTGGCACTGGGATACCTGCTCAGCTTTGCTACTGGTTGAACCAGCAAAGGGGAAAGTGGCAGCCACCTCCATCAGAAAGAGGCCCTGGATACCAGGGTGGGCACCAGTGGCCAGGCAGGACAGAGTCCTGGGACTGGAGGCGCTGGAGGAGGCGGCCACACTCATAACATCCCTTAACACGGCCAACAGAAACTCCATATATTAGCAGATAGCACAATACTATCCAGACACCATAAGGAAGCCCTGTGATGCTTTTGGAAAGCACTATATCTGTTCAACTCACACTAGTTTTTCCTTGCCCTTCAGAGTTATGTCTGTAGAAAGAATCAAAAGCCAAACGACGAAATAATGATTTTTTTCCTTCCAGTTCTTTGGCTGCGAAAGACACAAGGCTTTTTCTTAAAATGGAAAAGCAATTATCTTCTTCAGGTAGTGAGATTCTCTGGAGTTTATTCAACATATACAAGATGTGGAATGAACAAACTCACTTAGCTGCAACTGAACTCCAGTATGTTTATTATGGGACAGAATAGTTCTAAATGTATTTGTATGTGTGTGTGTATGTGTGTATATATATACACACCATAGAATGGTTTGAATTGGAAGGGACCTTAAAGATCATCTAGTTCCATCCCCCCTACCATGAGCAGGGACACCTTCCACTAGACCAGGCTGCTCAAAGCCCCATCCAATCTGGCCTTGAACAATTCCAGGGAGGGGGTGTTCATAACTGCTCTGGGCAACCTGTTCCAACACCTCGCCACCCTCATAGTGAAGAAGTAAACAAGCTAACCATCTCTTAAAAGATCAAGTTTTTTTCACTATGGAAATTTATCATTGGAGAATAAAAGTAGAAGAGTTCATTTTGCTAAATAAGAATAATCGAAGGATATCAAAGTAATAAGAATTACCAGATATTATCTAAAATGTTTAGAAATCAACAAATTTTACTATTTTACTGGAAAATTCTGCAAGGACAGTATTTTACCACGTTAGCTTTGTATCTGAAAATCTTATATTTACTCTTAAGCAAACCCAGATACACGACACTCATGTAAATAACACGCTCATGTAAATAACACTCTTCCTTTTCTTTTCAACAGATTTTATCCTGGATTACTTAAAAAAAAATTAATTTGTCATTTAGAAACAACAACAATCATGCTATAAATTAAGCTATACTTAAGTTTCTTAAGGCAATGTTTTTCTATACACAAAGAATAAACATAGAAGTGAACAAAGAAGCATAAAAGATACAATTAATTCTTCTTGCTCTAGCGTTGCTTCGTTTTCATATTTAATGACAGAGTAGCACACTTCCCATAGCAGATTCCATATAGCACAAGAGATGACTGAAGACCATAAATTCAAGAATTTGCAAAGAATAAGCAGACTGTGTCAAAGGTGCATGCACATAGGAACGTAAAACCAGGATCATCTCCTGCTTTTAGGTAAATCTGAAAGTATCTTTTTTCTTATCTTTTTTATCGTGAAAAGTTATCTAAATTATAGAGGCAGTAGGGATAAACTATGTTTAGTTTTCTATTGTTTTTTTAGGATTCTTATAACCTTCTCAAAAAAAAAAATCTCTAAAACCTTTTCTTCATGACACCCTAGTAAAGTTCACCTGGAAGACTGTCAGAAAGACAAGTGTCTTTGAGGTCTCATTCTTATCTAGGCTTGACAAACAGACTTCTGAAAAGGCACTTGTTTATCCGTAATTAATCTGCCTAAATAATACAGGAATAACAATAACCTAATGTAAGGACAAGCTTGTGCCACAGATATCTGTGGAAAAAGCCAGGCTCTGAGATCAGGAAGAGACCACCTATTTGGACTTCTCTGACAACATCCTGACAACGCTGTGTATGTCCTGATTCCTTTCCTGTCATTTCCCTTTACTCATATAGGCTAAGAGCCTTCCTATCAGTGATCGCAGTAAGAGCCATAGTCCTAGCTGGGCATGATCCTGAAGAATCAAGGAGCAGATCCTTTGTAACAGATGCATATCAAATAATGGGCTTCCTCATGAGAATTCTTGGAACAAAACCAAAAACTACCCCCATTATCAAAGGAACAAAGTGATAACTCTAAATGTTCAAAAGTGGGAAGTGTAAGAATGAAAGCTGCATGTGAAATTGCAGCTCCTTCTCTTCATCTATAATGTGGTGATTCAAATTTTGTGAACATGATCACAACCTTTTTATTTTCCCCAGGAGCTCTATCTCATTGACAGGATAGAGTGCACAGCGAAGGAGGAGCTGATCAACGTTTTAACACCACTGGGTGAGTGACTGTGGCTTATTGCCCGAGTACACATAGGTACATAGCAGTGCAAACAACCAAAGGCTAGCACTAAATTATGTAGGACACTAATCATTTACAAGGAAAAGGGGTCATACCTCTCCCTGTAACTAAAGATTGGATTCGAAGCATTAATTCGAGATGTATATGCAGATTTACAGATAGTCCTTTGTCCATTTTCTTGTTCTTTTTATTTCCCAGATAATTTTTAGAAATAAACTCTTTTATGATTCCTTTCATTCTGTGCACATACTCCTCCTTGACACCAAGTAGTAAGTCATGAGCAAATGCAGGTATCAAAATATCCCTGTCATGATTTCAGTCACGCAGGAGCATTCAATCCACTGAGATGAGCAGGCTGGCCACTACCAATCTCAATTTCTGTCCTGCGCCTCCCTTTCATGGGAAAATAGCTAGCTTTCCATCCGTAAGACACACACCCGCTCCCCTTCCCCGTGTGTTTCTCAGGTGGTTGAAGTGCCCCCCTCACTCTCTGTTCTCATGCACAGCCTCTGCTCTTCTGTGACTGTCCCAAAACCTCAATCAAATGACCTTTCCAACAGGACAATTGGGTCCTTGCTGACTAACTGACCAAGCTTCCTCAGGGTACTTATGTTCCAGTCAGCTCCTGTACGGAGACTCACATTGCCAAATGGCACTTGCTGTTTCTGAGCTGCTACAAGGCTCGTGTCCTTAAGCCATAAGCTGTGCTGTATACCCATCCAATACAGAGGTTGCATCAGTGTCAAGGCTCAGCTCCATCACCCATGCCAAGCTGACGAAACCAGGTGGAACTGTATGGAGCTGGGAGGGGGCGGACAGGGACTTGTGATGCACAACATAAGCAGAGCTGTTCAGTAGGTGTCACTGCAGCACCTAATCATAGAATCATAGAATGGTTTGGGTTGGAAGGGACCTTATAGGTCATCTAGCTCCAATCCATGGGCAGGGACACCTTCCACTACACCAGGTTGCTTAACGCCCCATCCAACCTGGCCTTGAGCACTTTCAGGGAGGGGGCACCCACAGCTTCTCTGGGCAACTTGCTCCAGTGCCTCACCAACCTCATAGTGAAGAATTTCTTTCTCATATCTAATCTAAATCTACCCTCTTCCAATGTAAAGCAACTACTCCTTGTCCCTTCACTACATTCCCTTGTAAACAGTCCCTCTCCAGCTTTCTTGTAGGCCCCTTTCAGGTACTGGAAGGCTGCTGTAAGGTCTCCCTGGAGCCTTCTCTTCTCCAGGCTGAACAATCCCAACTCTCTCAGCCTTTCTTCATAGGAGACATGTTCCATCCCTCTGACCACTTTTGTGGCCCTCCTCTGGACCCATTCCAACAGCTCCATGTCTTTCCTGTGCTGAGGGCTCCAGTGCTGGACTCAGGACTCCTGGCGGGGTCTCGCCAGAGCAGAGGGGCAGAATGACCTCCCTTGACCTGCTGAGCACGCCGCTTTTGATGCAGCCCAGGATATAGTTGGCCTTTTGGACTGCAAGTGCACATTGTCATGTTGAGCTTCTTGTCAACCAGTAACCCCAAGTCCTTCTAACATGTGCCCATTTTGCGGAGTCCAGTAACAGGTTGCCCCTGTTGTGCACTTGGGAGCCGGAAGCCCCCTTGGAGTTATCCAGAATACGGATGTGAAGGCCTAATCCGTACCCAAAGGTTTATCTGAAAGGGTTAGTGAGTTAAAACTCTTGAAACTTTGTGTGAGCATTTTTTTTTTTTCTTCCCCTAAACTGACCTGTATCATTTTTGAGGATACTATTGTTATTGCAGATGTTTGTGCAGGGTTAAATAAAATTAAGTATTGTAAAGTGAAAGAATTGAACAAGTGAAAACTTGCGTACAATCCAACTCCTAAATTACTTCTCTGTCTTTTGTTGCTCTCTACACCTGTGGCAAAAGAAGTAATTTTCTCCTTACAGGCTGATCATTTGTGCAATAATATAGCTCTAGAAAATAACAGAGAAAAAAGCAAGAAACCAATAAATATTCGACATTAAGACCCACCCAGTGTGAATGAAGTATGTGATGCAGAGTAAGCTTTCTGGAAGAAGCTGTAAAATTATTTTGTTCCAGTTAATTTAGTCCCTCTGTATAGGCAACGACCTACCCTGAATCTTTTCTTTCTTCTTTTGAAGGGGACTTTTATCTGCTGTAGAGGAGCCAGTTCAACGTGTTAATGGAAAACTGCAGTTGTGCCTTAATAGCTGGGAAATCAGTTGACATTTTAGTGCTCTTCTCGGAGCATGCTGAGATGTCAAGTTTTCAAGCTTCATTTTTTACAGCTTTCTCTCACTACTAATTTCTGAACTACAAAGCAGAAATAATTTACCAGTGAAAAACGACAGAATGGACCACACTGTATAGCAGACAAGATAAGTATGGAACATTAACTATGGGCTATTTTACCTTCTTCTAACATCTTTTGCAGCAGACAAGACTCCACTGGTAATTTTACAGCAACATCTGCTATTTCAACTGTATAAACTGAATTCCTATTTTTCTGTCACAACTGAATAGAACCTAGATTTGCAAACAAGTCTATCGGAATGAATCAGGCTAATATACTATGCAATGTGAACAAATATAGGCAAGTTAGGCCTTTAAAACCTTTCCACAAAATCTGCCCTGCGCTGTTTGAGAGGTGAAAAAAAAACATGAAACATTGTTTCATCACGGGGTATTCAGAAAGGAAAAGAAGAAAGGTATGTTATTATAGTTAGTCATCCTATCACCATTAGCCCAAAGATTTAATTAATTTAATAAGATATAAGAACTCATTCTTACTGTTTTCCATTACAAACGTTCAGATAAGTTGAGGTTTCAACCAACCCTATCTGACTATCTGCAGATGCGAAGGTGGAGTGCTTATACCCTTCCTTTCATGG